GGATTACAAACCCCTTACCCCCCAAAAAATAAAATAATCCCCAAACCACACTGATCTAAAGAACTGAATACAAACACCCTCTTCCAGGAGGTGGCGCTACGTCCTCTCTCTGGATTGTCAGTAGGCTTCAGCGACTCCGTTCCAAGAAGAGGGAACCGTAAAAATAAATTAAAAATAGCAAATGCACCGGGGAGACAGCTCCTCAGCCGGTGATCAAGAGCAGCACCACAAGCAACAAGGCACGTGGATGCCGAGCCTCACGTGGCCGGCATGTGATGACAAGGGCCACTCAGCTCTGGACTTTTTCCCACAGAGTTCAGGGTAGATCAAGCCCAGCATCAAACCACAGGCAGGACCCAGGGGTATTATTCCCACACTGTCAGGTCTGTGGGAGACAGAGGGACGTCCCTAACCACGTCCAGGTCCTAATTCCTGACAGTTTCACCTTATTTGAGGAGATGCAGAAGGAAGGATGCAGATGGAATTAGAGTTGCTCACCAGGAGTTCACTCTGGATTATCCTCAGGCTTAATCACTGGGCAGCTTCTAAGTGGAAGAGGGAGGCAGAAGACTGGGAGAGACACATGATAATGGAGGCAAGGTCCAGTGAGATGTGACTTTGAACATGGAGAAGGACCACAAGCCAAGGGATGCAGCCCCACTCATCTCTCCAGTGTGTGTGTGTGTGTGTGTGTGTGTGTGTGTGTGTGTGTGTGTGTGTGTGTGTGTGTGTGTTGGCACTGAGGATTGAACTAAGACCCTCTCATTCTTTTTTTTTTGCCAGTTGTGGGACCTGAACTCTGGGCCTGGGTGCTGTCCTTCAGCTTTTCAGCTCAAGACTAGCGCTCTACCACTTAAGACACAGCACCACTTCTGGCTTTTTCTGCTTATGTGGTGCTGAGGAATTGAACCCAGGGCCTCATGCATGCAAGGTAAGCACTCTACCACTAAGCTACCTTCCCAGCCCGAGCCTTTCATTTTTGCTTGACTTTTCTACTCAAGGCTGGCACTCTACCACTTGAATCAGACCTCCACTTTCACTTTTCTTTGTTTTTTGGTCAGTCATGGAGCTTGAACCCTGAGGTTTTTCACTCAAGGCTAGCACTCTATCATTTGAGTCACAGTGTTCTGTTTTTCACTGGAGATAAGTCTCACAGCCTTTCCTGTCCAGGCTGGCTTTGAACTTCAATCCTCAGATGTCAGCCTCCTGAGTAGCTAAAATTACAGAAGTGAGCCACTGGCACCCAGCTCACTTTTAGCTTTTTGCTGGTTAATTGGAGATAAGAATCTCACAGACTTTCCTGTCCAGGATGGCTTGGAACCTCAGATTTCAGATTTCAGCCTCCTGAGTAGCTCACATTGCAAGGTGTGAGCCTGGTGGCTTTACGCTTCCATTTCTCCAGTGACACCCACAACAGACATCTAGCTTCTCCCACCTTATAACTGTGGTTCTGTTCTAAACCACTTAAATTTGTAGCAATCTGTTCATGGCAGTCACAGGAAAATAATACAAGGTCTAACTAACCTCACCAGGAGCTGGAACCTTGCCTGGCTCCTTCTTCAGGTCATCAGAATTATCTTCATAGGAAGACAAATCCCTTACCATTTCTGGGCTGATTTCATGTGTTCTGGGATTAGTGATGAAGGGAGCAGAGGTTGTTAATAAGCGAGATGTGAAGGGTTGTGAACGTTTTGTTTTGTCTTTTTGCTTGCCAAGTGGGCTAGCCCCAGCTGCTCCCGGCAATCTGTGGAAAGCGTCCACGAAGGACACGCATCACGGGGCTTCTGAAGGGATGATGCGACACGTAGTGCCCAGGACAGTGGAAGAAAAGACGGTGCGCTTGGGGGATACCCGAAGGTCCTGGGCTGTATTCTACAGGTGTGGGCTACTGAGGCGTGGACCCGGAGTTTTCATCAGGTGATTATTTCTCCCTCAGCACCAGGGCCCAGAATCTTCCCGACAGGACTGCCGTGGGGGGCCGTCCAGGCTGCACGCAGACGGCCCCCCGGCTCCCCGAGGCCGCTCCGGGCCTTCGATCGTCTCCCCAGCCTCCAGCCCTCAAACCTCCGACTCCCAGCCTCCGGGGCCGAGATGGGACAGGACCAGGTGGGGGCGGCGCACCCTGCCCGGGGCGGGAAGGCAGGGGGCTCTCGGATGGGGTGGGGGGCGTCAGGCCCGGGGTCTGGTCCTGGAGGAGGCGAGCCGAGGAGGCAGATCCCGGCACGCCGGGGCAGAGGGCACCCTCCCCAGCCCCCCGGACCCCGCAGAGCTGGGCGGGGGGGGGTCGTCCATCGCGGGCCCTCCCCGCCCGCTGGGGCCCGTCCTCACCGACGGCAGCGGGCCCTCCCTCTCCGGCGACGGAGCCGCGGCGGGTTCCCTCCGCCTCAATGCTCAGGGCCCCCCCCCACCTCGGCTCCGGCCGTCACCTCAATCTGGGGTCAAGGCGCGAGCATGCGCGGCAGGGCTCCGGAGCCCATTCCTCGCAGGACTCCGCTTCTCCGGGTCTTCCCCTCGCGGCAGCGGGCTGACGGACCGACCAATCGGCGCGCGGGGCGGGATCGAGGGGGCGTGGCGGTAACGGATTGGGTGTTGTCGGAAAGGGGCGTTTCCTCCGCGGGGCCCGCAGCCTGGATTCCGGTTTCCGGTCTCCGCGGCGGCCCTCGGCCCCGGCGGCCCGCCCGGCCCCCGCGCCTTCGCCCCGGCCCGGCCGTTTGACCACCGGACCCTTGTAGTTCTATAGCAGCCCGGTGCCGTGGGCACCAGGGTGCGTCTGGCGCAGCCCGGAGCGGCTGCTCCAGCTCCGCGCTCCTGGCCGAGTAGCCGAGGCCCGCTGAGGCCCCCGGGAGCCTCGGGCACCGAGCGCCCGGCCGGGCCGCGGGGAGAGGCGCCCTCGGGGCGAAGGGGCTGCCCCGCGCTGTGCCCACCGCGAGCCCTCCCGAGCCGGTTTCGCGCCCTAGCAGCCCCGAGGGACCTTCCGAACTTCCTTTATTTCCCTTTGGTGGGACGCGGGGCTGGCCGGGGCCCTGGGCTCTGCCGCTCAGCCCCTCTGCGCAGGGCTAGCGCGCTACCACTTTGACCCACACCCGTGTTTCTGGTGGTTCATTGGAGATCCCAGTCTCTCGAACTGTACCGCTCAGGCTGGCTTCCCAGCTGCGATCCTCAGACCTCAGCCTCCTGAGTAGCTAGGATGACAGGTGTGACTCCCTGGCACGTTTGATTTAATTTTTGCTGGTTGGGGATCCAACGCAAGGCCTTCCCCACTCTAGGTAAGCTACCCCTTCACATTTTTTTTTTTTTTTCTTCGCTGGTGCTGGGACTTGAACTCTGTGGGCCTGAGTGCTGTCTTTGAGCTTTTGTGCTCAGGACTAGCACTCTCCCACTTGGGTCACAGCTCCACTTCTGTCTTTTTGTGTTGTTGTTGGAGATAAGAACCTTAGTGACTTTCCTGCCTGAGCTGGCTTTGAACCATTGATCCTCACTTCTCAGCCTTCTGGGTAGTTAGGATTCCAGGCCTGAGCCACCAGCGCCTGACTTGTTTCTGTCTTTCTCTGGTGCTGCAGATTGCACATCTGAAAGCCAGCCCTACCCTGAGTGGCATCCCCAGCCCTCCAATGATGAGCATCTTTTTAAGACAAAGGGAACAGGAAATGGAGGCAGACATACAGGCCAGTGGAGGAGTCTGAGTACAGAGGCAGAGACATGAAGGGAGACAGGCGATGCTGGAAGAGCTGAGGAGGGCATTTCCCTAGAACTTGCAGAGGAAGTGAGCACTGCTGACACCCTGATTTTGTACTTTTTTCTTCCAGAACTGTGAAAGAATAAACTTAGTTGCTCAAAGCTACCCAGTTCATGGAGGCCTACAGGAAACCCTTACTTGCACTTTTGGTCTGTGGCAAACAGTCAGGGGTGATGGGATTGAAAGACTACATTTGACTGATTGTTTGTTCAGCTGCTAAGACATCTACGTACAAAATTTAGGAAAGCCACAAAAGCTGGTGGCATGAGCCACTGGCACCGGCTGCCCTAGTCCTTTTGAGAAAGCCTAGTGGACAAAATGCAGCAGGTAGAATATGACACCAACACCTTACCCTGGAGACGGCAGTGTGGAGTCTGGATTTTTCTGACCTGCTGCCGCTCAGGCTTGGCAACTTTAGAAATGTGGGAACAGGTCATACTTATGAATGTATAAGTAATTTTCTAAAAACAAGGTAGCACAGGAAAAGTTGGAATGGCCTGGTTCACATGAGAGAACCATTGTTAGGACTGAAAAAACATAAAAGTTATTTAAAATATTGCCTACTGGCGCTGGGGAGGGAGCTCAGTGGCAGAGTGCTTGCTTAGTACTCCTCTCTGCTGGGACCCAGGTGCTAGCAGCCACGGGACTGGGGAGGCTTTGGGGAAGGGAAGCCGGCTGTCCTGGGAGGGTGTGGAGGAGGGGATGAGGGCTCCCAGAGAAGGACCCCTAGAAGGCAGAGTCAGTCATATCTAGCCACAGGTAGGACTCTAGAGCTCGTAAGGACAGTGGCCCACTTCTAAGGTGAGGAACCAAGTCCAGGCTGTTCTAGGCACTTAGCTTAAGATCTCTGGAAGAAGCAGGAAGTCCTGAGTTTCAGGTGGTTTCTTCCTGTCTCAGAACTCTGCCGTCTAGGCTCTATGTTTACTTGTAGTCAAGGAACTGGTCTGGCCCCAGGGCCCTCTGCCAGTGGCTCTGTGTTTACTTGTAGTCAAGGAACTGGTCTGGCCCTGGGCAGAGTGCCCGGCAGGGAGAGTAAGGACTTCCTGGTCTCCCCTGAGGGCCCAGACAAGCTCCCACTGCTCCCTTCCCTGCCGAGGAAGCAGGAAAGAGAAACCTCAGGGACTTTGCTTACTTAGCAATCCGGGGCTTTTTTTCCAGGCACAGCAGGACCAAGGGCTGTAAGGGTTGGAGGTAGGTGCCGAAGGACCCAGGATCCTTCAGGTTAGAGTCTAGTTCTAGGGAAAAAAAAAAAAAAAGCCAGGCATCTAATAAGCACATCTAATTGTGTTTAATGAAACTTCTTACATTGTTCACGCCCAAAATTTGGAATGTGTACTGTGTGTCGTCAGCGGCCTTCCTGTCACAGTACACCAGGGCCTGGATAACAATTGTATCTTTAAACAATTTTTTTGGGCGGGAGTTGGAATCCAGGGCTTCACACTGAACAGGCAGCCATCATTTCATTTTATTCTCATTCATCTTTATCTGAAAAAGAGAGGCAGGTCAGCTGAGCCACTGAGGCGGGTAGGGGTGGGGAAGGTGCTGAGGGAAGAGGAGGGTGCTGAGCACCCCAGAGGGACCCCGCCCCTTCTTGCACACTTACCCTGAGCAGTCCACCGACACTCCCACCCCTCCTGTTACTCATGGGAACCTTGGCTGCAGATCCATCCCAGGTCTGCCATGGAGAGCAAAGCTGACAGTCCTTACCTTATTTATGAAATAATAAGTGACAGCAGCAACAATGGCCACCGCCACCACAGCTCCAATTAACCATACCACAGGTCCGGTAAAGGTCGCCGTCACAGATACTGTCTCCAGCAGTGACTAGTAGAAAGATGGGCCCCTGACCTCCCTAGCTCCATGCCCATCCCCACAGCTGGGGGCCAAGAAGGGGGTCTACAGGCTCAGGTCCCTTGGGACACAGGAGCAGGGACGATCACAGTGACCCTGGAGATGGCTCTGTCCCACCCAGCTGCCAGGGAAGAACGGGCTCCCAACAGACGCAAACTGCCCCTCCCTCCCCTCTGGCCTTAGATGAGTGCGCTTCCCACAGGGCCGGGGGACCCCACCCTGCACCAGGCTGATACTCAGACCGGAGGTGGGCAAGCTGGCATGCCCCAGAGGGGCCTTGTGGCTCCTTGGGTCCTGTTCCCGCTGATTGATTGCTCAGCAAGGTTCCCAGAGGCCTGGGCCCCCCATCTGGGTGGAGGCCCAGGGAGCCTTGTGTCCTCTGACAGCTGCAGGCCCTCGGATCAGGGATAGCCCATCTCAGGTGCCCTGGGGCATCTGCCCGTGGGAAGGCAGCGGAGTGCCTACCCTCACTGCCCATGGGAGGCCTGTAGGGGCCTTTGGTTCTCACCAAGGAGATTGAAACGGCAGACTCCGTTTCCAGCATCTTTGAGACAGTAGAGCGGTCAGTCCTGTAGGGAGGAGAGTCCAGGTCACCTTCCACCCTTGTCCTGACTCCCTGGGGACCATGAAGCCCAGCCCATGGCAGGGCCCCATTTGCCCTGCCTACCGCCCCCTAGCTGTTCCTGTGCTTGGTAGGAGCACCTAGACAGAGGGCACAAAGGAATGGCCTCGAGACCATGGGCTGCCCCAACCCACCCTCCATGTGGCCTCCGTGAGTGGCCTCTGCCTGCGGCTGGGCTGGCTAGAAACCCCTCAAGAGGTACAGGGGATTGCCTACCAAGGGCCCAGTCTCCCATACACCCCTTTCTATTGCTCTTGTCAGTTGCTTGCCCGGATGTACACAGGGGTGGTCACTAAGCTGCTCTTCACCTGTCCCTCCCCTGTATCCCCCCCCCCCCCCACTCCCGTTTCTGGATAGTTCCAACAGGGGAGGCAGCTAGGAAGCTGGAACAGGAGCTCTGCAGTCCCTACAAGGTCCCTAGCTGCCTGTGAGTGCGTCTCTGCTCATGCCCTCCTTAAGCTACAACCCAGGCAGACTCCTGTCAGGGTCCCCGTGGCCTGTGGGATGGTGTCAACCCCGGCCTCCCACTTTCTCATTCCTCAGTCATCTTGGAAAGCAGTCTGCCCTCAGAGGGCGGCTCCTCAGTATCTCTTCTCTGCACCCCAGGGTCCCCACATGTATGCTGAACATGGTTCTCTGGGTCCTTAGAAGACACTGCCACTTCCTTCTTGTTGTCAGCCCGTTCCTCTGCTGCCTGCATGCCTCTTCTGCCACAGGGCCCCCACAGAACCTCGAGGCACCTTTGGGTCCTGGGGATGTGGAAGGCAGAGGACTGGGTGGCCGGGGTGGGTGTGAAGAAAATAGTAGGCTTTTAACACTTTCTCTGCCATTCCCTCCCCACTTCTTTCTCAGCACCCCCAAATCTCATGACGCCCTGTGGCTGACCCTTGCCCTGGCCTGGCAACTCCTGGTGGATGGAAGGCCTGATTTTAAAAAAATTAGCATACATGGCCAGTACCAGCGGCTCATGCCTATATTCCTAGCTATGTAGGAGGTTAAGATCTGAGGATCACAGTTGGAAGCCAGCCCAGGCAAGAAAGTCCATGAGACTCTTATCTCCAATTAACCACCAAAAACAAGTTGGAGCTGTGGTTCAAGTGCTAAGAGTGCTAGCCTGAAGTGGAAGAAGCTAAGGGTCAGCACCCAGGCCCTGAGTTCAAGCCCCAGTACAGGCACAATAAACAAATAAAATTAGTATATATTAGTTATACAAGGGAGAAGGAAGGAAGGTCTTGATTCATGCCTGTTTCACCTGGGCTGCCCCTTCATTAAGGCCTTCTTCAGCCTGAACCTCCCACCCTCGGGCCTGCACGTTCCCAGCTGCATCCAATAATGGGCCATCCATGCAACCCCCACGCCGTGGACATGGTGCTCCCACCCTTACCTTGAGCTGTGTTCAGTTCCAGAAGATTCTTAATTTGGTGCCAGGAGCTGAAAACGAGTCAGAGTAACTGCCTTTGCCCCACCCATTTCCTTTCCGGAAATAGCGTAGTTTACAGATTTGGTGGTAAGCAATGAACATCACTGAGTTTTACTTGGTTTCCTTTTCAGCTGCTTTGAGATAAAAACAGATGGAGTAGTAATAAAGATCTAGTAATAAAGTTCCTTAAAGTACCAGTTGGGAGCCAGGCACTGGTGGCTCACACCACTAATCCTAGCAACATAGGAGGCTGAGATCTGAGGATTGGGGTTCAAAGCCAGCCCAAGCAGAAAAGTCTATCAGACTCATATCACTGTGCTACTTCTGGCCTTTTCTGTTTATGTGGTACTGAGGAATTGAACCCAGGGCTTCACGTATGCTAGGCAAGCACTACCACATAGCCACATTTCCAGCCCCATGGAGCGCTTATCTCCAACAAACCACTCAAAAAAATTAGAAGTGGCACAGTGGCTCAAGTGGTAGAATGCTCTCCTTGAGCAAAAGCAGCTCAGGGACAATACCCAGGCCCAGAGTACAAGCCCCAGAAACCCGCCCTTCACCCCCTAAATAAAGAAAAAAAGCAAATTAAAAACCTACATGTCAGGGTCAGATTGGGTAGCACACCATCTAAAGTCTCAAAATCAGCTTGCTGATATTATAAAGTACTTCCTGCCTATTTAAAAAAAATCTGTTAAGTTTCGATTTCCCCATGCTGTACCATTTCCCCAGTGTGATACACAAATCCCCACTCAGTTGCAAGTCTCATTACATTCTTCTTCCTCCCCCAATTCTGGCAGCCCACATAATGTGACTCATGACTGTCCACTCCCTGAATTTTAAATTTCACTCACACCTGTTGACAGCTGCTGCCTCCATTCCCACTTAGAACAGCCTGGCAGGTCTGTCCCCCCCAAAAGTTGACCCCGTTATCGGTCCCTTGCCTCTCATTTCTTACACACCCTCTAAACCAGATACTTGGCAGGCAGAGATAGGAAGATCAAGGTCCAAGGCCAGGCTGGGCAAAAGTGTGAGATTACCTGATTAAAGAGACTCAAAGCAAAAGGGCTGGGGGACATGTAGCTAAGGGGTGAGGCCCTTGGCACTGAGCTCAACCTCAGGCAGGCTTCCCAGCCTCACCCCACCCCTCACAAAAAATCCTGCACATGAGGCTCCCAGGGTCCTCTTTTTTATTCCCCTTTTTATGCCACAGTGCTCTCAGGACTTGGGGTCCTGGCACTGGCTCTCTACTGTCAGGAGAAACGAGAAATTAGTTGCATCCAAGACAGCCTCCTAGGGCAGAGAGCAGAGCTGCTGGAGCACGAGGTGTGACAGTGGTACCCTCTCTAGTTTCCCTATGGGAGAAGGGGCTTTTTTCTTTGGCAAGTCATTTTCTGTATATTCTGGATATTAACTTGGCAGATATATGACTTGTAAGACTTTTCTTCCATTCAGGGACGGATTAAAAGTATAGATTTTCTGCTTAGAATGTTGAAAAAGTTCTGGAAATGGATATGGTAATGGTTATATGATTTCATAATGTACTTAATGCTCCTGAATTGTATTACTTGAGAGGTAAAACGAGATATTCTGTATTTCCTGCATTTCTCCACCCAAAACTGCATGGAAATACCAATTCTTGCCTAGAGAACTAGCTTAGATTCACAAGTATAGTGCTCCCTCTATAGGTGAGGCTGAGGGCCAGCAGGCACTCTCATACTTGATAGTGGGAAGAGAAGCCAACCTGAGAGGAATTTGGCATTATGACCAAAACTGCTGTCTTTTCTTTTTGCTCTATCATTCACACCTTAGGAATTTACAGCAGGAAGACAGATGTCCCAGGAGGTGAAAATAGACATGTACTTGGTTACTCATTGCAGTGTTGTTTGGAATTACAAAATAGTGCAAATAGTTTAAGTGATGAGAGGTACAAGACTAGCTGAGTAAATACCAGTACATCCACAAATCTCTACAAACTAAGGGGGAAAAGTAAAGTAGCAAAGAATACCTGTATTATCTTTGTGTATGAAAGGGAATTAAGGAAACATATTGGGCTGGGAAGGTGGCTCAGTGGTAGAGTGCTTGCCTAGCATGCATGAGGCCCTGATTCAATTCCTCAGCACCACATAAACAGAAAAAGCTGGAAGTGGTGCTGTGTCTTAAGTGGTAGAGCGCTAGTTTTGAGCTGAAGAGCTGAGGGACAGCACCTAGGCCCAGATTTCAGGCACCACAACCGACAAAAAAAAGAAGAAGAATTGAGGGGCTGGGGATGAGAAAACAACCATTCCCTGAATAAATATAATTATTGTATAGACATGTCTTTTGGAATCATGTTGTTTCACTGTTTGAGTATCTAAATAAAAGCAGGGAAGCCAGGAACCAGTGGCTCATACCTGTAATCCTAGCTACTCAGGAGGCTGGGATCTAATGATGGAGGTTTTTTGTTTTTTTTTTGGTCGGCCGTGGGGCTTGAACTCTGGGCCTGGGTGCTGTCCCTCAGCTCAAGGCGAGGGCTCTTCCACTTGAGCTACAGTGCCACTTCTGGTTTTCTGGTTGTTTATTGGAGATGGGAGTCTCATGGTCTCTCCTGCCCGGGCTGGCTTTGAACCGTGATCCTCAGATCTCAGCCTCCTGAGTAGCTAGAATTACAGGTGTGAGCCACCAGCGCCCGGCTCTGATGATGGAAGTTTAAAGCCAGCCTGGGCAGGAAAGTCATATGACTTTATCTCCACATAACCAATGAAGCTGTGACTCAAGTGGTAGAATATTAATCTAGAGCAAAAAAAGCTCAGGTACAGTGCCTACCTAGACCCTGAGTTCAAGCCCCAGACTAGCAGCAGCAACAATGACAAAGTTGGTGACTGGTTACTCACACCTCTAATCATATATACTCAGGAAGCTGAGGTCTGAAGATTGAAGTGCAAAGCCAGCTCTAGCCACATTTCCACTTCTGGCTTTTATTGTTGTTGTTGTTGTTAACTGGAGAAGAGAGCTCAGATCTCAATCTCCCTAGTATCTAGGACTGCAGGTGTGAACCACTAGCTCTGGCTTCAATCAGGGTTCTTTGCTACAAATTATCGACAAAATAAATGGCCTGTTATCTCCAAAACTCACTGTCCTGAATTATAGTCAGGAACTGTTCCACATAATCTAAAAGATTTGACAACTAAATGCAACGAATTCATGATTTTAAATTTTCTTTTACTATAAAAAAATGTTTGCTATCAGAATAGTTGACATTTCATTACGTTCTACAGATTTTAGCATTGCTCTGATGTTACCTTCCTGAAACTGTGCTATGGGTTATGAGGTTTCTTTTTTCTTGATGTTTTTTCTTTTTTGTTCCGGTCGAGGGGCTTGAACTCTGGGCCTGGACACTGTCCCTCAGCTCTTCAGCTCAAGGTTAGCACTCTACCACTTGAGCCACAGCACCACTTCCGGTTTTTTCTTTTTTGCTTATGTGGTGCTGAGGAATCGAACCCAGGGCCTCAGGCATGCAAGGCAAGCGCTCTACCACTGAGTCACCTTCCCAGCCCGATTGATGTTTTTGTTTTCTTTCCTTTTTGTTCTGTTTGTTCGTTTATGTCTTTATTCGTTTATGTGTAAGGGGAGGCACAGAAAAGGAGGGACAAAGGGTGAACAAATGCAGTAACAGTGCTCATCGGGCACTATTTTGAAAATGAACTATACAACTTGTGGCTGGTGATGGGAGAGAAAAACTGGGAAGGAAGGAGTGACATTGCCCAAAAAGAAATGCTGGGAATGTGGCTTAGTGGTAAGAGTGCTTGCCTAGTGTGCATGAAGCCCTGAGTTCGATTCCTCAGCACCACATAAACAGAAAAAAGCCAGAAGTGGTGCTGTGGCTCAAGGGGTAGAGTGCTAGTCTTGAGCAAAAGCTCATGTACAGTGCCTAGGCCGAGTTCAAGCCCCAAGACTGGCAAAAAAGAAAAAAAAAGAAATGTAATCCTAACTACTCAAGAGGCTGAGATCTGAGGATCAGGGTTCGAAGCCAACCTGGGCAGAAAAGTCCCTGCGAGACTCTTATCTCAAAGAGCCCGAAGTGGGGCTGTGGTTCAAGTGGTAAAGCACTAGCTTTGTGCAAAAGAGCTGCGGGATGGCGCCCAGGTCTTGAGTTCAAGCCCTGAAACCGAATAAAATAAAAAAAGAATGTAGTCATTGCTGGGTGCAGGTGCTCCTGTCTGTGAGGAGGCTGGTATCTGAGGCAGGCAAGGCCTGAGAGTCTTATTTCCAATGAACTACTTAAAAAAGAGGAAAGTGGTGCCGAGTCTCAAGTGGACAGCCCCGGGACAGGCCCCAAAAATAAAGTGCTCGTGAGAACGATTATCTAACCAGTCCAGCGCAGGAGGCAAGCAGGGGCAGGACCGGCAGAGGTGCCCGCTCAGGCCCGGGCCGGCCCCGGGCTGCGCAGGGGAAAATGGCCTCCCCGGCCGGCCACCCTACCCGCAGGTGGCGGAAGACCTCTCCTCCGGGGCTGGCCGCCCGCCTCCCCGCGGGCTACGGCGCGAGGCCGCCGACATCATGGAGGGCTGCTGCCGCCTTCGCCCTGCACGCTGGGCCCGGAGCCCCGCAGGCCCCGCGGAGCCCGGAGGCCCAGGCTGCGCGCCCGAGGGCTGGGGGAGGAGACCCACGGTCCGCTCGGAGCGGCCTCGGGGCCGGGCTCGCGCCACCGCCGCCCCAGAGCGGGAAACAAAATGGCTGCCGCGCCTTGGCCGAGGCTACATACGGGTTCCGCGCCACCACGGAACTACAGCTCCCAGAAAGTTCTGGGCCGCAGGCGGCGTTGGGTGTGTGTAGTGGGGGAGGAGGGAGTGTAGTTTCTCGAGGTGTCGCAAGGCCCGACGCCCTTCCCCCTCGCGGGAGGCTTCAGGTGGACGTTGAGGGTCCGGTCCGCTCGCCCCGCCCTTCCTCGCAATGGCTGACGGGACTCGAAGTTTTTGGGCAACGGATTCGAGCATCCCACACGCCTTAAAAAAACTATACTTCCTGGTGAGGCTTCGGCGCCTGCGCACCACGTCACGGAGCCTACTACGGCTCCCGGCAGGCTCCGCGGCGCTCGCAGCTGCGTGCTGACGCATTTAAGTCGTGCTGACGTGCAAGCGTGGCCCAGGCGGGGTGCGAGTGGCGCAGTCGGAGCCCGCTGCGGCCCCAGAGGTAGCGAGGAGGCGTCCGCGTCGACTGAGGCGGGCGGACTGACGCGGCGAGGCGGTGGCTCCAGGCCCCGAAGGAGTCTGGAGCCCGAGCAGCAGCTGCAGCGGGACCTCTCCCCCTCGGAGGCGGCGGGTGGAGGCGGCGGCGGCGGGTGAGAACGGGAAGGAGCGCGCGAGCCCGGTGGGGGAGGGGTGGTGGCCGCGGCCGGCGGCCGGGGCGCGCGGGGAACGGCCCGGCCGTCGCGCTCACGCGGGCCCGCGCGTCCTCGGCCCGCGCGGAAGCCCTCGCGGGCCTCCCCGCCTCCCCCTCCCCCTCCCCCCTGCGGCTCCTGTCGCGCGCGGCCTTCGGCTCGCGCCCCTCCCCCATGGCAACGGCGCGCGCCGCCGCCGCGTTCAGGTTCGCGCGCTCCCCTCTGCAGGAGAGCTCGCGAGACTCGGCTTCTCGCCCCCTCCCACGTGCGGTCGAGGCCGCGCTCGCTCGCTCGCGCCGCCGCTGCCCTGGCTGGTCTTTTAAGTGGAGGGGAGGGGGCGGCGGCGGCGGCGCACGGCCTGCGGCCTGCTCGCGGATGCGTTCTCCTGCCCGCCCCGTCCCTTTTCCCTCGTGACTGCGGCGTTAGGCCTCCCCGCCCCTTTGGAGGGCCTGTGGACCGGCCGGAGCCTCCCAGACGGCGGGGCGCCGTGCAGCCCCCTCCCCCCATCGCTCAAGGCCGAATATAGGTCTTCGCGGTCCAGCCAAGGCCTTGAGCTAGGTGGCCCGGTTTCACGGAGTTTTCTCTCGGTAGTATCAACCCTGAAGTTGACTTGGGGGGAATGGGGCCGCCGAATCTTAAAAATAACGTATTCGAAGACGTACGGCAGGCCGTGCTCCCTTTTTATTCCGTATTCTGGTCAGTCTTTAAAGGCCTTCAATAAGCTTTTTGTTGGGAAGAACAATTCTGAACTATTTCAAAGACGTTCTAGCTTCTTGATTTCATGAAACTTCATTTCTGTTTACTGTTGTCCCCCATATTTCCAGTCCATTCAACTAATAGTGCTGAGCTAGGTCCTACCTACGACCGTCTCCTGGACACCTCTGCCTGCTCCCCTCTTAGTGCCGGTTCTGAAACAGTTTAATAATTTCAAAATAACCTACTTTATTAGTTGGCATTCTTGTAATTTTATAACAAGAAATTCCTTGCATCTTTTCTTTCTTTATCTTGGGTGACTTTTGCTTAGGCAGTTTGGAAACTTCGGGTTTTAGAGTTGTCTTTTGGTAGTTTGTTTTTTGTCTTAAGTACTGCTTGGATGCTCTTTTTTTTTTTTTCCTTTCCCCTAAAAGTGCATCCCCTAAAAGTTCTAGAAACATTGTGACTTAATTTTCTTGGCTTAACACCTACTAGTTTCCTCTTTTTTTTTTTTTTTAACAGAGGATTTTGGTGTGAGGTGTGGAATTGTGGGTGAAAGGTTTGAAGAAGTAATTGCAAGCCAGAAGTTTTGTGTTTGTTTTTTGTTTTTATTTTTGTAAGGGAAGTTAGAAATTAGGTATGAAATAGGATTGCAAATAAAAGACCTTGTTTTGAGTGGGGAAGGATTGTTTTTAGAAAATTAGAAGTGATGCCAGGCACTGGTGAACTTATGCCTGTAATTCTACCTACTCTGGAGTCTGAGATCTGAGGATTGAGGTTTGAGTCTAGCCTTTGAAGGAAATTGTGTAAGGCTTTTATTTCCAATTAAGTACCAAAAAGGCAGAGTGGAGCTGTGGCTCAAGTGGTGTAGAGCAAAACAATTCAGAGAAAGTGCCTTGGCTGAGTTGAAGTCCAGGACAGACACAAGAAAAGGAAAAAAAAGACAATTGAAAAGTGGAGAAACTAATTTCTTGAGATGTTGAGGCTTTCTTATTTGTGAATTTTCTTTCTTAGATTTAGTCTCATCGTTCCTTTACACTCATAACAGTTATTCATTGTTCATTCCCAGGTCTTCTGTGGTTCTGTTAGGTTTACTGTGGGTCTTTTCTTTTCCTTTTTTTTTTTTTGCTAGTCATGGGGCTTGAACTCAGGGCCTGTGATCTGTTTGAGCCTCTCTGTGCTCAAGGCTAGCACTCTACCACTTGAGCCACAGTGCCACTTCTGCCCTTTTCTGTTTATGTGGTATTGAGACATCAAACTCAGGGCTTCACGTATGCTAGGCAAGCATTCTAGCACTAAGCCACGTCGTTCCCTGCCCTGCTGTGGGTCTTTCTTAAAGACTCATCCTTAAGACTTTCAGAGCCATCTGGAACAATCCTTTCATTTAATATCCTTATATTTTCTCATTTCCCCCTTTGCATTTTAGTAACTTTTCCTGGGCATTTATATGGCACTTGTTTATTCTGGAGCTTTATAATGCAATTTCCTTTTGTCAAATTCTATCTCTTTCATTTATCTTAATTGATCTCTGCCTGATCCTTGGGCATTTTCATGAGGCAATGTTTTCTTACATGCTTATGTTCTACGAAACTATCTCTGAGAATGTTAGAGAAAGACATGTAGCATAGGTAGCAGGAGAATAGAGTATGAGAAACCTAAAATTTAGTCAGGATTACAATCTTGGTTTGGGGGCTCCTTGAAAATCTTGCTGGGGTGGGACTAGTTGAGAGCATAGAACCTGGCAGGAGGCATAAGGTTAACATTAGAGGAAAGATAGGATTGGGTGAGGAAAAGTGGTATAGCTGGGAATTGGTACAGAAAGTTGATGCATGTGAGATTGTGAACTTTCTAAGTAAATTTAGGTGTATAGTAAAAAAAAAAGGTGTATAGGAACAGTTGGATTGGAGAGGCTGGTTTGATTTGTTTAAAGAGCATTAAGTTGAAAGCAGGTAATACTTAAGAACTAGCCAGACTTGGAGGAGCTACAAGTCATATGGTAGATCCCACTGGAGAGGAAACTAAAGGCTAGTTGATAGCTGTAAATGTTTGGAATCAAAGAAATAGATCCTTTCCTGGGAGATAAAGTATAAGGTAACACCATGATTCATGTGTGTTTTTGATGTTCCTATTGGCCTGTGGTTAGAGTGTAAGGCTGCATAGGATATTCAGTTTGTTAATCAGTGTACTTATTCACTGAGACTGGTCTCACTTTGTGTCTGTATAAGAATAGCCTGAAAGCTTTAGGTAAATTTTTGGAAGAGTCTTTGAACATGGATTGCAGGCCTTTAGGTGACAGATCTATGTCTGGTGTTTGTTGTGTTGTTTGGATGATTGTCTTGATTAGTAGAAGTTAGATGTTAAGAATGGTGAAGATACCACTTGTGTGCATTAAGATCAAAGAGATTTCAGAGAAACTAGGAAAAAGGAAGCAGTATGGGAAGGATGAAGAATTTTGTTAGGAGACATGAGAATGGCCCATGCTAGCAGATTAAATACAAGTGCTGAACTAGGAATAAGGAGAGCCAGAGATATGGGAGGTGGTAAGTGGTAGTGTGGGGCCAGGGGCCTGACCCGTGTCTCCCCGCTCCCCCTCAGGAGCGGTGGTGCCCCCCCGGGCACAGGGCCATGTACAACGGGATCGGGCTGCCGACGCCCCGGGGCAGCGGCACCAACGGCTACGTCCAGCGCAACCTGTCCCTGGTGCGGGGCCGCCGGGGTGAGCGGCCAGACTACAAGGGAGAGGAGGAACTGCGGCGCCTGGAGGCTGCCCTGGTGAAGCGGCCTAATCCTGACATCCTGGACCACGAGCGCAAGCGGCGCGTGGAGCTGCGATGCCTGGAGCTGGAGGAGATGATGGAAGAGCAGGGGTGAGGGAAGGGGTGGGGCAGAACAAAGCATCTAGTGGGTACAGAGTGGGTATTAGGAGGGCTATATGGAGCTTAGGGTTGGCTGGAAGAGTGGATTTGTGATGAGAGGTAAATGAGTTAGTGAAGAATTAAGGGACAGTGTGAAGTGGGAGGTGAGGAAACTGTCTAGAGCATAAATAGTAGCTTGAGGGGTTCTGAATTAACTAGATGGATATGGGAAAGGGGAGATTATGGAGGAACAAAAATGTGCTGTAAAGGACAGAGAAGAGAACAGCATTCTGGCTGACGAAGATGTAGGTAATCTGATAGGTATTGTCATTGGTAGGAAATGGATTAAGGCTGAGGCCTTGAAGGATAGCAAAGACAAAAGAAAAGGAATTGGAAGAATACTTGAAGAGGCTATCTTGGGTTAGGTAGGAAAGTGAAGTTTTGGAAAAGGCACACACATTCAGGCAACCTTTTAGAGCAGTGGTTTTCAAACTTGAGCAATGGTACCCCTTTTGTACACTATACCTTCCTTTGAAATCCTAGGAAATAAAGGATCTTTTCTTGTTCACATTGGGAAGGAGCACTGAGAACTTTACCAACTAACTTTCTTCTCTAGGCCCCTAAATTGTAGTATGTTTAAAATCCACTGTTCTAGAGGCTATAGTAAATACAAAAGGAAGATATGGGGGGAAATCAGCAGGGTTTAAGAAAATTTTGGGTGATAGTGAAAAGTTGTATGTGTGCATGGGAGATGTAAGGGACTGTGATGGAAATTAAGGAAATGTAAGTCTGACACTTACATTGAAGGGATTTGTTCTTTAGGTACGAGGAACAGCAAATTCAGGAGAAAGTGGCTACCTTTCGACTCATGTTGTTGGAGAAGGATGTGAACCCTGGGGGCAAGGAGGAGACCCCTGGGCAGAGGCCAGCGTGAGTTGAGCTCTCCCTTGGTTCCCCCACACTGTATACTACTGCTGCTGCTGCTGCTGTCCTTTATCCTTTCTTGCTTTTGTCTTCATGGCTGGTTCTTGCTTCTAATTACTTTGAGTAGACATCTGCTCTGTTCCCATATTTTTGACAGATATTTGCCTTTTTTTCTTCTAGGGTAACTGAGACACATCAGTTGGCAGAATTGAATGAGAAGAAGAATGAGCGACTCCGTGCTGCCTTTGGCATCAGTGATTCCTATGTGGATGGCAGTTCTTTTGATCCTCAGCGTCGTGCTCGAGAGGCTAAACAACCAGCCCCTGAGCCTCCAAAGCCTTACAGGTACGTAGGATCAGGCTTCTTTTTCTGGTTTTAAGCATCCTGCTGTTACTTTAATTATTTCTCCAAACATCAGATGTTGTTCTTTTGAGCCTGAAAGGTCTTAAGGGTATGGGCTCTAGCACCCACATCTTCTGTTATTTTTTCCTAGCCTTGTACGGGAGACCAGTAGTTCTCGTTCACCAACTCCAAAGCAAAAGAAGAAGAAAAAGAAGAAAGATAGAGGACGGTGAGTCATTTGGAAAGTCAGTCTAGTATTTAGAGGATTAATCATGTGGTAAAATCATGTATTTTCTCTGTTGAGCATTCTATTAGGGAGCAGGAGACAACTGCCAGAAAAGCCATGGAGAAAGGGAATCACTATTTCAGTTTTTAACTGGGAGAAATTTTTGTGTTTATTGGGACAGGTTGAGTTTAACCTGCCGTTGAAGGATAGCCGCCATCAGCAACTTTAGGATTTGTTGATTTAACTATACTTGTTTTTTTTTTTTTGTCCAGTCGTGGGGCCTGAACTCTGGGCCTGGGTGCTGTCCCTCAGCAATTCAGCTCAAGGCTAGCACTCTACCACTTGAGCCACAGCGCCACTTCCGGCTTATTTTCTTTTTGCTTATGTGGTGCTGAGGAATCGAACCCAGGGCCTCAGGCATGCAAGGCAAGCACTCTACCACTGAGCCACCTTCCCAGCCCCGATTTAACTATACTTGGAAGTGAAGAATACATCCTGGGCTAATTCTGGGCCACTGATGCTGATGGGAGTCATGGGTGCTTTAGAAACTATTTTTATGAGTCAGGTGCCCAGGGTTCTCATTACATTGGAGGCTGAGATGTGAGGATTGTGATTTAAAGCCAACCCTGGCAGGAAAGTTTGTGAGACATTTCCCTGCAATTAAGCACCAAAATGCTGGAAAGTGGATCTGAGGCTCAAATGTTAACTGAGTTAGCCTTAAGCAAAAAAGCTTAGAGACAGTTCCCAAGCACTGAGTTTTAAGTCCTAGGACCAGCAAAAACTAAAAACCAAACATTTCTAGGGATGGATTGTAAGGGATGGATTGTAAGTGGGAGGGCTAGACAGAGCAAAATAGAGAATGACCTTGCTTCTGAATCTGTCTTTAGTAGGTCAGAGAGCAGCTCTCCTCGTCGTGAGAGAAAGAAGAGCTCTAAGAAGAAGAAGCACAGGTATGGTATGAAGTAGAAGTACTTAAGAGTGATTGGAAGAGGCTTATTGATACTGAGTTCAGGCATAGGTGTGAGTTAGGAGTTTTAATTTATAATTTATACTTCCCTATAGGTCAGAATCTGAGTCGAAGAAACGGAAGCACAGGTAAGAGTTCTTTGGCTCACATGGCAGTGGTGTTCTTTTTCTTGGAGTAAAGCTCTTTTAGCTTTTCTGTTAACATTGTAGTCCTTTTCATTTCACATTGGATTTTATTGCAGTTTAAAAGATTTGCTTTGTAAAACCTTTACCTTATTTCCTAGGTCTCCCACTCCAAAGAGCAAACGTAAATCTAAGGACAAGAAGCGGAAGCGGTGAGTAAATTTGAGAGGAATTTGCTTAGTAAGTAGATGAGGGCCCCCTTAGTGGGAGGGGAAGGTAGAGTCAAGGGTTAGGGGATGTGTGAGAAGAATCTAATATAAGTGAATTAACCTGATGAGCTATGTGGTGGTCTTTCAGGTCTCGAAGTACAACACCAGCTCCTAAAAGCCGTCGGGCCCACCGTTCAACCTCTGCTGATTCTGCGTCGTCCTCTGATACTTCTCGAAGTCGGTAAGGGGTAGTCCAAGAGGAAGGGGAGGGAGAGGGAATGGTGGGTTAATTAATTTAATATTTATTGAGCGCCCACGGTGTGCTAGGCGCTGCACAGACCATTCGGAAGACACGGTCCCTGCCCTCTAGGAGCTGACAGGCTAAAGCAACAGGATGGACAGACATATACATTTCCCCTTGTCTTTTTATTTTATTTTTTATTTTTTGTTTCGTTATGATGTATATGGACTGCCAGAATAGGGGGAGGGGTGGTTTGTTCGTGGTGTCTGGGGGAGGAAGGAATCCTTACCCTGGCTTCCTTAATCGGGGAAGGCTTCCTGAAGGAGGTGGGTTCAGAGGTGAGTTGTGAATGAAGTGGGTAGGGATTGGGACTGGGTGGAGGGTTTGGGGATGTTTGGGGGAGGTGGATAAAAGGTTAAGGGGGAGATTGTGTTGGGATGAGATGGAACAAAGTGGACAGCTTGCATTTTAATGAATGATTTGAATCATGTGGCTAGATCATTTCTGGAAAAGGGTTGTACAGTTAGAAAAGCTGGATGGGGAGCTAGGGGGGAGGGGACTTCTGTTGTCCCTTGAGCTGACTTCCTTGCATTCCCCCATCCTTCATTTAACTCACAGGTCTCGAAGTGCTGCAGCTAAAACCCATACATCTGCTTTGTCTGGGCAAAGTCCTTCCCCTGCTTCAGGGCGTAGAGGGGAGGGAGATGCACCTTCTAGTGAACCAGGTACCACCAACATACAACAGCGGCCTAGCAGCCCAGAGCCCTCTACGAAGCAGCCTGCCAGTCCTTATGAAGACAAAGATAAGAAGGAGGTATGTTTTGAATTAATATTCATTGCATTGCTTGGTTATTGGTTTTAGGATGAGTATGAAGGTGAGAACAGATAACATTAGAAAAAATTGTTTTTTCTATGTTCCTTTCAGTTACCAAGTTCTTGTACACATCTGCAAATATTTTGGAATCGCAACTCACTAAATTTGAAGCCTAGATATTACAAGTTTTATGTCACTATGTGGTTCATATACATACATACATATACGTGTATGTGTACAAAGACAAGAGTGGGAAAAAGTTTAAATTTTTTTGAGGTAGTGGAAATTGAATCTAGGATACTGGACACAGTTGGTAGGCAAGTGCTAGACCATTTGAGCTAGGAGAAAAGGTTTTGTTAACCAGTTTACTTTTCCTTTATGGTGTTTGTTTTCATTTAATTATATTGGTCATGATTTTACTGTATACTTTTAATCTACTGCATTGCTACTAGCAGTCTGGAAACACTAAAGAATGATATTCTCAATTTTGTCTGTTGTTTTATACCCTGTGTTCTGAGTCCTGATTATTTCAGCCTTTAATTACTTCACTACTTTTGTCTTTTTATCCAGAGATAAGTTTCCGAATTATTAGTTGGGCCACCTCAGAGGTTTTGAGTTCTATTGCTTTTGTGTTACATTAGTGTTTTTGTTTTGTTTTTTGTTGGTTTTTGCCTTTTGAGCTGCTTCTCAAGCTTGAACTCAGCTTGGCTTTTTTGCTCAAGACCGTTACCATTTGAAAGCCACAGTTCTACTTCTGGCTGAGTGAGTGAGTGTGTGTGTGTGTGTGTGTCTGTCTGTCTTTGTGTGTGTGTGTGTGTCTGTCTGTCTTTGTGTATGTGTGTGTGTGTGTGTGTGTGTGTGTGTGTGTGTGTGTGTGTCGGTTGTAGGGCTTGAACTCTGTGCCTGGATAGTATGGTCCCTGAGCTGTTCAGCTCAAGGCTCTATCCCTTTGAGCCACAGCTCTATTTCTGGTTTTCTGGTGGTTAATTGGAGATAAGAGTCTCACAGACTTTCCTGCTCCGGCTGGCTTTAAACCACAATTCTCAGATCTCAGCCTCCTGAGTAGCTAGGATTACAGGTGTGAGCCACTGGTGCCCAACTGCTTTTTTTGCTTCACATTCTTTTAAGTTGACTTTTGCTCATAGCTGGTGTTCTTCTGCTTGAGCTATACCTCCACTTCTGGCTTTTTGCTGGTTAACTGGAGATAGACTCGTGGAGACTTTATAGCCCAAATGAGCTTTTGAACCCTGATCCTAAGATCTCATCTTGAGTAGCTAGGTTTATAGGAATGAGTCCTACCTGTATCTAACTCATATGTTCTACTTGTCACACAAATCATATTGTCAGGGGGCTGGGAAATTGGCTCAGTGGTAGAGCGCTTGCCTTGCATGCCTGAGGCCCTGGGTTCGATTCCTCAGCACCACATAAGCAAAAAGAAAAAAGCCAGAAGTGGTGCTGTGGCTCAAGTGGTAGAGCGCTAGCCTTGAGCTGAAGAGCTGAGGGACAGCGCCCAGGCCCAGAGTTCTGGCCCCACGACTGGACCCAAAAAAATAAAAAAAACAAAACAAAAAAAAATCATATTGTCAGTACTTTGCCTTTACTTGGGCAATTTGTTTTCTTTTGCCTGTATTAGAGCTTGAACTCAGTGCCTCATACTTGCTTGGTTTTCTTGCTCATGGCTGGTGTTCTACCACTTGAGCCTCATCTCCAGCCCAGCTCTCTTGCTGATTAATTGGAGATGGAGCCTCTCAGATTTTTGCATACAAGATGCTTTTGAACTGCAATCCTCCAGATCTCAGTCTATCTCAGCTAGGATTACAGGTTTAGCCACCAGCACCAGGCTATTTATTTTAACTGAATATAGTTATTTATCAAAGCTGAGGATATCCTACTTTAAGAAATGTCTTTCAACTCACAAAACCTATTTTTTAGTAATATTTTTTGGTAAGTAAGCCAGTCAGTGAACAAAGTCATCAGGTACCAAGTCCTAGTCTTGGAACAAAAAATAAATTTTTTTTTTCCTCTGTTCTCAGAACTTTTTTTTTTTTGTCTGTCATGGGGCTTCAACTCTGGGCTTGGGCGTTGTCCCTTAGCTCCTCAGCTCAAGGCTAGCGACATTCGATGTTCCACCACATGAGTCACAGTGCCACTTCTGGTTTTCTGGTGATTAACTAGAATAAGAGTCTCATGGACTTTCCTGCCCAGGCTGGCTTTGAACCGTGATTCTCAGATCTCAGCCTCTTTTGTAGCTAGGATTACAGGCAAAAGGCACTGGCGCCTGGCTCAGAACATTTTTATAATACTACTTGCTAGTAACTAGTGTTTAGTTGCATTTAGTCTTTTTTTTGTTTTGTTTTGTTTTTTTTTTGGGTCGGTCATGGGGCCTGAACTCTGGGCTTGGGCGCTGTCCTTCAGCTCTTCAGCTCAAGTGCCCTACCACTTGAGCCACAGTGCCACTTCTGGCTTTTTCTGCTTATGTGGTGCTGAGGTATCGAATCCAGGGCTTCATGCATGCAAGGCAAGCACTCTACCTCTGAGCCACCTTCCCAGTCTGATATTGTCTTTATTAGTTACAGCTTTTAAGGTCACAGACTGTTCATATATTCATGTTTTTCCCAATGTGTTTTATGTCATATGATGTCCTGTTACTGAGTAGAAGTGATTGCTGGTGGTGAGGAAAAGGACAAATTGGTACCATGGGGTTGGAAGAAGAAAAGCTTTATTGGAAAGGATGTTGGGTTCTTTGGGAGATAATGAAGCTTTGATGCTTATTGTATGTCTATCCCTACTTTTTCTTCTACTCTTAGAAATCTGCAGTTCGACCTAGCCCCTCTCCGGAAAGGAGCAGCATGGGTCCAGAACCGCTTGCTCCCCCTCCGCTCCTTGCTGAGCAACATGGTGGCTCCCCACAACCCTTTGCAACAGCCCCATTATGTCAGGATCCAGTGAATCCCCCTTCTGAAGCCTCCCCAACCCGGGGCCGTTCGCCAATTAAATCTCCTGAGAAACCTCCCCAATCATCTTCCTCAGAAAGCTGCCCACCATCCCCTCAGCCTACCAAAGTTTCTCGGCATGCCAGCTCCTCCCCTGAAAGTCCTAAGCCAACACCAGTTCCTTCAGCAGCCCGACGAGAGATGTCATCTTCTCCCACATCCAAGAATCGTTCACATGGCCGAGCAAAGAGGGATAAATCTCATTCCCATACCCCTTCCCGAAGAATGGGAAGGTCCCGTAGTCCTGCAACTACTAAGCGGGGGCGATCTCGGTCTCGAACTCCTAAGAGAGGCCACTCTCGGTCTAGGTCTCCTCAGTGGCGTAGGTCACGCTCTGCCCAGAGGTGGGGGAGATCTAGAAGTCCCCAGCGGCGTGGCCGATCTCGGTCACCTCAGCGTCCCGGCTGGTCCAGGAGCAGAAATACCCAGAGAAGAGGCAGATCTAGGTCAGGAAGGAGAGGCAGGTCACATTCTAGATCCCCAGCCACGAGGGGCAGATCTCGTTCTAGAACACCAGTCAGGCGAGGTAGGTCCCGCTCTAGAACACCTGCCAGGCGGAGATCCCGGTCCAGAACACCTCCCCGGCGTAGGTCTCGGTCAAGAACGCCAGCCCGGAGGGGAAGATCTCGGTCGAGAACACCTGCTAGGCGCAGATCTAGGACCCGATCACCAATACGACGAAGATCTCGTAGTCGATCACCAGCCAGGAGAAGTGGTAGGTCGCGTTCCAGAACCCCGGCCAGACGTGGCCGATCGCGCTCCAGAACCCCGGCCAGACGTGGCCGGTCGCGCTCTAGAACTCCAGCTAGACGTGGCCGGTCACGGTCTAGAACACCAGCCCGGAGAGGAAGATCTCGGTCTAGAACACCAGCAAGACGAAGGTCCCGTAGTAGAAGTCTGGGTAGGCGTGGAAGATCACATTCTAGATCACCACAAAGAAGAGGCAGGTCTGGCTCATCATCAGAGCGGAAAAACAAATCCAGATCATCTCAAAGAAGAAGCAGGTCCCACTCAAGCCCAGAAATGAAAAAATCCCGTGTTTCCTCAAGGCGGAGCAGATCTCTCTCTTCATCACGATCCAAGCCAAAATCTCGCTTATCTCTGAGGCGAAGCCTTTCAAGGTCTTCTCCTTGTCCTAAACAGAAGTCTCAAACACCACCTAGGCGCAGTCGTTCTGGATCATCCCAACCTAAAGCTAGATCCAGAACACCACAGCGAAGTCACTCTGGTTCTTCACCACCTGAACAGAAGTCTGAAACACCATCCAGACAAGCACGTTCCAGTTTATCTCCTCACCCTAAAATGATGTCTGGAACGCCACCAAGGCAGGAATCTGTAACCAGTTCCCAGGCAAACGAACAGTCTGCAGTGACACCCAGGCAGAGCCATTGTGAATCATCACCTGACCCTGAGATGAAATCTGGAACCCCTTCAAGATATAGCTGCTCTGAGTCCTCTCCTCAAGTGAAATCTAGGACACCTCCAGGACATAGCCCATCTAGATTGTCATCTCCACAACCTAGAGTAAAGACAGTGTCACCAAGACACAGGAGCCATTCTGGCTCCTCTTCTCCAAGTCCTAGTAGGGTGACTTGTGGAACACCTCCACGGCAAAGCAGGTCAGTATCTCCCTGCTCCAAGGTGGAATCTAGATTGTTGCCAAGACAGAGCCATTCTAGATCCTCTTCACCAGATACCAAAGTAAAGCCTGGAACACCACCAAGACAAAGTCACTCAGGGTCTACATCGCCATACCCCAAAGTAAAGTCTCAAACTCCACCAGGACGAAGTCTCTCTGGATCAAAGTCACCATGTCCCCAAGGGAACTCTGAGGACTTGTCAACACAGAGTGGCTCTGAATCTTTCTCTCTCTGTCCTGGAGTAACATCTTGTATACTGCCAGGGGAGAGCTATTTTGGCACCTCATCTCTGCAACAGAAAGGAGAATGTCAGACTTCACCAGAACACAGGTCTGATACTTCAAGTCCAGAAGTGAGACCGGGTCACTTGGACACTCTATCTTTGCAGAGCAAATCTCAAACATCTCCTAAGAGTGGCCGGTCTAGGTCTTCATCTCCAGTCACTGACATAATGCTCAGATCTCCAGTGAGACAAGATAGAAATGACTTATCAACAGGTCCAAGGCTGAAATCAGGTATGTCTCCTGAGCAGAGATCTCAGTCTGACTCTTCCCTGTATACTCCAGTGGACTCTAAATCTCTTTTGGGACAGAGCAGATTGGAACCTTCGCCTGAAATGAAGGAGAAGATAACCCTTCAGGAGACTGTTACTGGGCATTCTCCTAGACCTAGAGACAGATTAAGTCCTGTGCAGGATAGGCCAGAGTTCTCACCAGTCCTGAAAGACATGCCTAGACCGCAATCAAGAGAAAGAAGTATTGCGGGATCTCCAGATACAAGAGACCAAAATACTACATTATCTAAGTTAAGTCAAGACGAGGAATTAATGGAGGTGGTAGAGAAATCTGAACAGCCTTCGAATCAGGTTCTGCCCCAAATGTCTCCAGAACTTAAAGAAGTTGCCTGCATTAATTTTGAATCTCAGTCTCCTGAAATAGAACAAAGGTCTGTTGTGTCATTGGCTTTTGACCAAAGTGGGTCACAGGCTTTGGAAGCAGAAGTCCCTGCAGTGGCCTCGTGTTGGAGTGGACCCCACTTTTCTCCAGAACATAAGGAACTGTCTCACTCCCCTCCCGGGGAGAATAGCTTTGAGTCACCTTTAGAATTTAGAAATTCAGGCCCTGATACAGAAATGAATACTGGATTTTCTCCCGAGGTTAAGGAAGATTTAAATGGACCTTTCTTGAGTCAGTTGGAGACAGACCCATCTTTAGACATGAAAGAACAGTCAACCAGGCCCTCAAGACGCAGCAGTTCTGAGTTCTCCCCAGATGGAGTGGAGAAGGCAGCGATGTCTTCAAATCAGAGTGTCTCTTCACCTGTACTCGGGGCTGTACCTAGAACGCCTTCTAGAGAAAGAAGTAGTTCTGTGTCTTCTCCTGAACTGAAAGATGGTTTGCCGAGAACTCCTTCAAGGAGAAGCAGGTCTGGGTCTTCTCCAGGACTTAGAGATGGGTCTGGGACTCCCTCTAGGCATAGTCTATCGGGGTCCTCTCCTGGGATGAAGGACGTACCTAGAACCCCATCCAGGGGGCAGAGCGAATGTGATTCTTCACCTGAACCAAAAGTGTTGCCTGAAACGCCTAGGGCAAGAAGTCATTCTCCATCATCCCCAGAGCTCAACAAGGGTCTCACCCCTCAGAGAGAGAGAAGTGGATCTGAATCATCAGTTGAACAGAAGCCTGTGACTAGGACCCCCCGTGGGCATGGAAGTCCATCTGGATCTTCTCAGGAACCTGATGGGAAACTTGGCACATCCCCTCAGGAGAGAACTGAGTCAGACTCTTCCCCTGATTCTAAAGCCAAGATGCGAAGTCCACTTAGACAGAGGAGTCGCTCTGGATCATCACCAGAGCTTGACAGCAAATCTCGACCCTCTCCTCGGCGTAGTAGATCTGGCTCATCCCCTGAAGCAAAAGACAAACCAAGATTGGTGCCCAGGGCCCAGAGTGGTTCTGATTCCTCTCCTGAGCCTAAAGTACCTGCCCCCAGGGCCCTGCCCAGACGCAGCAGATCAGGTTCATCAAGCAAAGGCAGAGGTCCTTCTCCTGAAGGAAGCAGTAGTTCTGATTCTTCTCCAGAACACGCACCCAAACCCAGAGCCACTCGAAGAGGCTCCAGGTCCTCACCAGAGCCTAAGACCAAGTCTCGCACACCACCTCGACGGCGCAGCTCTCGATCATCTCCTGAAGTAACTAGGAAGGCCAGAGTGTCTCGAAGAAGCCGCTCAGCTTCATCATCACCAGAAACTCGATCCAGAACTCCTCCAAGACGCCGAAGAAGTCCCTCAGTGTCTTCCCCAGAGCCAGTTGAAAAGTCAAGGTCTTCACGTAGGCGACGTTCAGCTTCATCTCCACGCACTAAGACAGTTTCAAGGAGAGGCCGGTCTCCTTCACCAAAACCACGTGGGCTCCAGAGGTCTCGGTCTCGCTCACGCAGAGAGAAAACAAGAACAACGCGACGTCGAGATAGGTCTGGATCCTCACAGTCAACCTCTCGGAGAAGACAGAGGAGTCGGTCTAGGTCTCGGGTAACTCGTAGGCGGAGGGGAGGCTCTGGTTACCATTCAAGGTCTCCTACTCGGCAGGAGAGTTCCCGAACCTCTTCTCGACGCCGAAGAGGCCGTTCCCGGACACCACCAACCAGCCGGAAGCGTTCAAGGTCACGCACATCACCAGCTCCGTGGAAACGCTCTCGGTCTCGAGCCTCACCAGCTACTCACCGGCGATCCAGGTCCAGAACACCCCTGATCAGCCGGCGCCGGTCCAGGTCTCGGACATCACCTGTGAGTCGAAGGCGGTCACGGTCTAGGACATCAGTGAATCGACGAAGATCTCGATCAAGAGCATCCCCAGTGAGTCGAAGGCGATCCAGATCCAGAACACCACCGGTAACGCGTCGCCGCTCAAGGTCCAGAACACCAGCACGTCGTCGCTCCCGTTCTAGAACGCCTCCAGTGACTCGGAGGCGGTCCAGATCTAGGACTCCCCCAGTAACTAGAAGACGATCTCGAAGCAGAACTTCACCCATTACTCGGAGAAGGTCAAGGTCCAGAACATCCCCAGTCACTCGGAGAAGATCTCGATCTCGTACATCTCCAATCACTCGCAGGAGGTCCCGCTCTCGAACCTCTCCTGTAACACGCCGCCGCTCTAGGTCTCGAACACCTCCAGCGATTCGGCGACGCTCAAGGTCTCGAACACCCCTGTTGCCACGCAAACGTTCTCGAAGTCGCTCACCGCTTGCTATCCGCCGCCGTTCGAGATCTCGTACTCCACGAGCAGCCCGGGGCAAACGCTCTTTAACAAGATCCCCTCCAGCAATCCGTAGACGATCTGCATCCGGCAGTAGTTCTGACCGTTCACGCTCTGCTACTCCTCCAGCAACAAGAAATCATTCTGGATCCCGGACACCTCCAGTAGCACTGAGTAGCTCCAGAATGAGTTGCTTCAGTCGTCCTAGCATGTCACCAACTCCTCTGGACCGGTGTAGATCGCCTGGATTGCTTGAACCACTGGGCAGTGCCAGAACACCCATGTCTGTCCTGCAGCAAGCCGGCGGCTCCATGATGGATGGTCCAGGTCCACGACTTCCTGATCATCCAAGAACATCAGTGCCAGAAAATCACGCTCAGTCTAGAATTGCACTTGCTCTGACGGCCATCAGTCTTGGCACTGCCCGGCCACCTCCGTCCATGTCTGCAGCCGGCCTAGCTGCAAGAATGTCTCAGGTTCCAGCTCCAGTGCCTCTCATGAGCCTCAGAACAGCCCCAGCCGCCAACCTCGCCAGTAGGATTCCTACAGCCTCTGCAGCAGCTATGAACCTTGCTGGTGCCCGAACACCTGCCATTCCAACTGCAGTCAACTTGGCTGATTCGAGAGCACCAACTGCTGCAGCCGCAGCCATGAACTTGGCCAGCCCCAGAACAGCAGTGGCACCTTCAGCTGTGAACCTTGCTGACCCTCGAACCCCCACAGCCACAGCTGTGAACCTAGCAGGTGCCAGAACCCCCGCTGCCCTGGCAGCTTTGAGTCTTACGGGTTCTGGCACACCTCCAGCTGGTGCGAGCTATCCCTCGAGCTCCCGAACACCCCAGGCTCCAGCCCCAGCAAACATGGTGGGTCCTCGGTCTGCCCATGCTACAGCTCCTGTGAATATTGCCAGCTCTAGGACCCCTACTGCCTTGGCCTCTACAAGTCTCACCAGTGCTAGGATGGCTCCAGCATTGTCTGGTGCTAACCTCACTAGTCCCAGGGTGCCCCTGTCCGGTTACGAGCGTGTCAGTGGCAGAACCTCACCCCCCTTGCTTGACCGAGCCAGGTCCAGAACACCACCAGCTGCCCCGAGTCAGTCTAGAATGACCTCTGAGCGGGCTCCTTCCCCGGCCTCAAGAATGGTCCAGACTCCTTCCCAGTCTCTTCTCCCTCCAGCACAGGATCGACCTAGGTCTCCTGTGCCATCGGCTATGACAGACCAATCTCGTTCTGTTGCCCAGCCCACTCCTGTAGCAGGGTCTCAGTCCCTGTCCTCTGGGGCAATGACAAAGACCGCATCCTCTGCTAGTGACCACAATGGCCTGCTCTCTGGCCCTGCTTCTGAGATGTCCCACCCCGAGGGTGGGGAGCCACTTCCCTCTACTGGGGCCCTGCAGCCCCCAAAGGAACGGCGGAGCAGCTCATCGTCATCGTCATCGTCTTCTAGCTCCTCCTCTTCCTCCTCCTCTTCCTCCTCCTCCTCCTCTTCCTCTGGCTCCAGTTCTAGTGACTCGGAGGGTTCTAGCCTTCCTGCCCAACCTGAGGTGGCACTGAAAAGGTGAGGGAATTTTAAAGATTCTTACCCATGGGGAAGGTATTGGGGGACAGGTGCAGGAATGGGGAGGAAATAATGGTCGGTTCCTTGCGTCTTGGGGACTATGACACTCGAGCTGGGGTAGAAGAGTGCTGGGTGGGGCTGTTGGGGGTGGGATGGAACAGGTAAAAGGCTCCAGAGGTTAATTCTCCAGAGGATAATGATAAGTTTTCCATCTCTACAGAGGACAGAACTAGAGGAAATGGACTTAATTTTACAGCAGGAGGGATGGCAGTTAGACCTCAAGAGGAACTCCCTGGGCTGGAAGGATCTTCAGAGGTCATCCCATCCCTCTCCCTGCCTCCAGGCAGGACGGCCCCTCCCAGCCAACCTGCCATGCACAGGGGCCTCCCCAAGCTGCGGCTCTCCCAAGGAGGGAGACCACCTAGCTTCAGCTGACCATCTGAGCCCAGGGGCCTTATTCCTCCATCAGGGACATTCTTGAGGTTTAACCTTGATCCCTTGTGCTGTGGCCTCAGCCTAATGCTTGTGTTGGCAGACGTTGGGTCGGCTCAGGCCACTGCTCCAGCGAAGTGCTCACTGGCCTACCTAGGCGTGCTCCCGAGGCCTTTCTCAGCACCCCTCCCCCACCGCCCTTCCTCCAAGCCAAGGAAGGTAGGGTCAGGGCTGGGGCAGCTTGTCTACTGATGACCTTGCTCTTTTCCCACAGGGTCCCCAGCCCCACCCCAGCCCCCAAGGAGACCGTTCGCGAGGGACGTCCTCAGGAGCCAGTCCCAGCCAAAAGGAAGAGGCGCTCTAGCAGCTCCAGCTCCAGTTCTTCCTCCTCTTCCTCCTCTTCCTCCTCTTCCTCCTCCTCCTCCTCTTCCTCCTCCTCTTCCTCCTCTTCTTCCTCCTCTTCCTCCTCTTCTTCCTCTCCCCCCTCTCCTGCTAAGCCTGGTCCTCAGGCCTTACCCAAACCTGCAAGTCCCAAGAAGCCACCCCCTGGCGAGCGGAGGTGAGTGCTGCCTTGCCTGAGGTGGAAGTGGCGGGTGGGTTGACTTCTCCAGAGAAGGGACCCTGGGTGAGGTTCCTGCTGGGGTGCCTCGTGGACGTCGGTGTCTGATGGTATGGGAGGACTCGGGCAAACTCCTGTGCCCGCTGCTCCCAAGGTGCCTTGTTCTGGAAAAGGGCTGCACCATCCAAGAGGGTCCCACACCAGAATTGGGAGGTTCTAGTTTTCTTCCTCTGTCCCCTCCCTCCCTCCCCTGACATGCAGCCCAGTCCCAGGGGTTCTAGCTAAGTCTCCCCATTGCTGCTGCAGGGCTCTGGTCTGGCCACCGTCATCTTCTCCCGACTCTGTCCACAGCCTCCTCCCTGTCTCCCTGCCTCCACGCCATTCTCTTCCACTCGTAGCCAGAGGGATCTTTCTAAAACGCACATCTGGCTACTTCCCTCCACTCCACAAATCCTTCCGGGACGCCCTGTGGCCTGCAGGATAAAGCCCCACCTCTGCGGGAATGGCGTGTGAGGCTCTTCACCAGCTACCCTTGCCCGCCCCATGCTCTTGTCCACCCTGTGTTCCTCCTGCCTACCCCCACACATGCCCTGTGATCCGGCCATGCCCGCGCCTTGCAGTCTAGGAGAGCCCCATGCCTTTGGACATGCTGTTCCTTCTGCCTGGGATTTCCTTGTCCGCCTGGCGAGCTCCTCGTTCTGCAAGACTCCACTCAAACAGCACCTCCGAGAAGACTGCCTTGCCCTTTCCCTGCCCCACCCCAGCCCAGGCTCCCCTCCCTGGGGCCCCCAGACCCATGCACATCCATTCCTGCGGGGCTGCTTCCCACACATGGGGACTGGGCCTGTGTGCCTCCTTTGCTGGCCTCCTCCACTACCAGACTGAGCACCTTCAAGGGCAGGGACTGTCTTTTATCTTTGCGTCCCCCCGCTGCACCCTGTGCCCTGCCCACTGGGGCACTCGGTGGATGGTGTGCGGGCGGATGGGTGAGTGCGGATAAAGGTGGGTCTGAGGCTGGCCCTGCGTGGTGTGAGGTTTGGTGGTCAGGACCTGGGCGGGTGGTCCTGAGTGCTAGCTGGTGGGTTTGGAAGGATGTGGTGCTATAGAGTCCCGCTCTGCTCCTCAGGTCTCGGAGTCCCAGGAAGCCAATAGACTCCCTTCGGGACTCTCGGTCCCTCAGCTATTCTCCTGTGGAGCGCCACTGTCCCTCACCCCAGCCTTCCCCACAGGAACAGCAGAGGTGAGGCCTCCTTCAGCCTGTTGCCTAATTAACCACCATCCACTTGTACAGAGGGCTTTTGAGGCTTCTTAAAGACAGCCTGGGGTCTGATACTGTCCTCTGTTGCAGCAGTGAGCGGGTTTCCCGGAGAGGCCAGCGTGGGGACAGCCGCTCTCCCAGCCACAAGCGCAGAAGGGAGACACCTAGTCCTCGGCCCATACGCCACCGCTCCTCCAGGTGAGTTGAGTCTTGAGTGGCAGCACTTGTGGACCAGCTTAAAAAGTGGCACTTGGGCTGGGTGCAGCTTTCACATTGATCCTCCTCTGTTGCAGGTCTCCATAAATCGTTGGGGTTTCTATCACCTCATAATTCTGGAGCCACGTGGAACATCCCTTGTCCCCAGTGGAGCTGTAGGGGTCCTTGTCTGTTTGCCCCTTGAACCCTGACAGCATCTTCTGGGAGGGCTCCTTTCTTCCCCTCCATTTTTTTGTTTCTGTGAAATGTTAATCTCTGTGAGTTTTCCCTGGTTCGTGTTGGGGGGGGAGGGCAGGGATTGGGGAGGGGGAGGGAATGCAAATGGAAGTTGGGGGAGGGGAAGGAAACTCCCTAGCCTAGTTATTTAGGGGGTAATTGATGGTTTGGGTCATGGGAGGTTGGTTGATATCTGGGAAGGGGCAGGATTTGAATTCAGTGAGCCCCTGTTGGCCCCTATGAAGTTGCAGGCCCCTCCCCCCAAAAATTTCTTCATGTTTCTTAAAGGCATTTTGGTTTTTTAAAAATCTGTACAGCAAGAGAAACTTTTTCTGTCAAATAAAAATGAGAAATGCAGGAATTCAGTCTATAGACTTTTTTTTTAAATTAACAATCCTAGGGCTTGAACTCAGGGCCTAGGCCCTGTCCTTGACCTTTTTGCTCAAGGCTAGTGCTGCAGCTTGAACTACAGTTCCACTTGGAGTTTTGGAGAGGTTTACTGTGGAGTGGCATTCCATGGCAGGAAGAGCTTGACGGATGTTCCTGCCTTGGCTGACTCCAAACCAGGATCTCAGCCTCCAGAGTAGGTATGATGACAGACTACAGGTGTGAGCCTGGTACCCGCACCTGGTAGACCTTACTTTGGTGTGTGATAAGAGGAGCTACCAAACGATTATGGCTATAACTGCTGGCTTCTCACCTGGACTATTTGGAGAATGGCAACTGCACATAACTGCTGGCCCAGGGCTTTGGGTCCTCAGGGTGGACTATGGTGCCCCGAGGGGCAGGCAGCCTGGCTGCAAACAAGGTCCCTTAGAAGCTGATGTCTAGACTTAAGGAGCCGAGTAGAGAGAAAGAGGCAGCAGTCAGGCAGACACCCAAATCTCTTTTATTGGGGGTAGGGGGAATGAGCCTCTGGGGCATGCCTGGGGCCCTCACTGCACAGCTTGTTCATTGGCGCTGCCTCCGGAATCCTGAGGCTTCATCACATCTGGAAGCTCTGGTGGGCTGGAGAAGGGCTCGATGCGCAGGGCCTCAAAGGCTTCATCTGTTGGGAAGGACAACTGGAGTCAGTTCCCTACCTCCTGTCCACTTGCTCAGAAGACAAATTTTGTCTTAAGCCCCAACTCCCAACCTCTGGCAGGCTGCCGTCTTGGTGCTGAAATGTCATAGTCTCTCCCCACCCCCCTGCTTCCCCCCAGCACAACCCAACCACCTCTTCATAACCCCACCTTGGCCCCATGCAACTGGCTGTTTTGGGGGCCTTTATCCACATTCACTTATTTGCCTTTCCTTTCCTGGGGCTTGAACTCATCTCAGGCACTGTCCCTAAGCTGCTTTTGCTTGAGGGTAGCATTCTGCTACTTAAGCCACAGCCAGACTTTAGCTTTTTCTTAGTAGTCAGTTGGTGAGTCTGACTTTCCTGCCTGAGCTGGCTTTGGATCTCAGGCTGATCCTTGGATCTCAGCTTTCAGAATAGCTAGTGTATTGTAGGAGGAAGCTACCAACACCAGCTGATCAATAAGCCAGCCTGTGGCCATAATACTTCATTCTATCTGCTTTGTCTCCACACCACCATCACTTTACCCAGGTTTCCTTCCCATCAGATTTTTGAATGGAATCTTAACTCCCTGCCCTTTTTGACCTTTTTGATCATGCCTGATGCTTAAGGTACTGGCTCCTAAGGTTCCTACACCACCCCGTTTCCTGGCTGAGTCTCTGCACTCAAGTTGGCTAATCTGGGCTGTTGAACTCAGGCCCCTCCTCAGAGATCACTCCCAGCCTGCCAGTAAGTACAGTTTCTGTATCTGTACTGTATCAACTTACCTGGACATTACCTCAGGAGCACTTAGCACAAGCAACTTGTCCGCTTTTCATACTTCAAACAGTGGCTCCAATTCCCACCCTTGTTCCAGTGCAGAGGAAATGAACATCATACTTTTTTCTCCTACCTTACAGACTCTTCACCAGGCTCAAATGACACTTGGAGGTGTGTGGGTGCGGGCATGCATGTCTGTCCTGGGGCTTGAACTCAGGACCTAAGTGCTGTCCCTGAGTTTTTGTGCTCAGGGCTAGTTGTGTATCACTTTGAACCTAAGCTCTACTTTCAGCCTTTTTAGTGGTTAACGAGATTCAAGAGCTTCCCTGCCTGGGCTGGCTTTGAACCCCCTTTCTCAAATCTCAGCTTCCTGAGTGGATTACTGGCATGAACCATAGGTGCAGAGCTCTAGGGCATTTTCTTCATCTATGTCAGTAAACAATTTTTTTTTTTTTGGCCAGTCCTGGGGCTTGAACTCAGGGTCTGAGCACTATCCCCGAGCTTCTTTTGCTCAAGGTTAGCAGTCTACCACTTGAGCCACAGCACTGTGCCTAGCCTTTTCTGTGTATATGGTACTGAGGAATGGAACCCAAGGCTTCACGCATGCTAGCCTAGCACTCAACTGCCAAGCCACACTCCCAGCCCAGAAATTTTTTGGGGGGGTCTGTTGGTCGTGGGGCTTGAATTCTGGGCCTGAGTGCTGTCCCTCAGCTCTTCAGCTCCAGGCAAGCACTACCACTTGAGCTACAGCGCCACTTCTGGTTTTCTGAGTGGTTTATTGGAGATAAGAGTTTCACGGACTTTCCTGCCCCGGGCTGGCTTTGAAACACGATCCTCAGATCTGATTATAGGCATAAGCCACGGGTGCCCAGCAGAAATTCTTTATATACTTAGCTACGGGAGGTCCAAAGCAGTGAAAATACAGGTCTATGTTTCTATTCCCAGAAGCAAAGTACAAATTCTAAAAGCTTCCCCTTAAAATTGGGAAGAAAATAAACAACTTTTTGCAGATGCTGGGCCTTGAACTCAGGGCTTGTGCTCTGTCCCCGAGCCTCTCTATGCTCAAGGCTAGCACTCTACCACTAAGCCACATTCCCAGCCCAAATAAACCACTCTTTACCTTTCAAATTTCTAAGATTTGGGCAGGGCTGAGGCAGGATGGATTAGATCACAAGCTTTGTTGATCTGACTCCAGAGTTAATGTCCCAGCTAGTAACTAGACCACTTCAGGTTCTTTAACTTATCTAAAAATGGGCACAGTACAGGTCTCAGAAATGCACTGTACAGCCCCTGCAGTCTGGCTCCAGAAGCTACTTCAAAGCCTAGCCAGCCCCATGGGACTGCCTCAGCATCCTCATCTTCTAAATGAAAACTAATGCAGTACTGCTTGTCCAGAGCTATGGAGAGGAACAGAAAGGACTCAGGAAGTAACATGGAGAGTACAGGGTCAAGCACTTAGAAAAGTAAATCTGAGCTGATAGTGGGGCTGTATCTTCACATCTATGGCTGTTATCAGACTACACGTGCCATCCAGCTCAGCCCTCTTACCTGCCCGGAAGGCTAGGCCCACTGTGGCTGGGGCCTGTGGCCGTGCTGTCTGGCTGGTGAAGCCACACTCGCCCAGCGTTTTCCCATCATCTAGAAGCTGGTCGTCCTGAGGAGGAAAAGCGTGAGTCCGGGAGGGGTCCCTGAGGGATATATCCCAGACCTCTAGCCAACAACAATGGGGAGTCAGAGGACAGACAGATATCCCCACCTGTGGCTATGACTCCAGAGTATAAAATATGCATGCCAACACTATACCCAAGGGTTTCAAACACAACCATAGAGAAGGAAATCTGATGTTTCCCAACTCTCCAAGCAAGTCTAATTTGGAGCCACTGGCCTAGGTCCACCTCCCCCCATCCCCCTCCCCCAAGTCCTAGGTCCTGGGCACTGTCCTGAGTTGCTTTTTTGCCCAAGGCTAGCACTCTACCACTTGAGCCACAGCGCCACTGCTGGCTTTTCCTGTGTGTGTGGTACTGAGGAATCAAACCCAGGGCTTCATGAATGCTAGGCAAGCACGCTACTGCTAAAGCCACATTCCCAGTCCAACTAGCATAGTTTGAAGAGAGCTAAAACTTGATAGATAAATCCCCGTAAACAATGTCTCAAGTCCCAGGCTGGCCTTGAGCTTGAGATCCTCCTGCTTCAGCCTTTGATGGGCCATCTGCCAGACTAAGTTGAATTTTTTTTCTGTTACGTTTCCAGAACCTTAAAATAGGAATTCCTGAGTTTCCAACTGCCAGGTTTCAATCACTAGGGAGGCACAGAAAACACTCAAGTACAGTGTATGGCACTTGGGATCTTTATAAAGGAACTCCAGCAGATTTCGGCGGGGAAAGCCTTTCACACACCAGCAAAAAGTCAGCGCCCCAAGTTGCCAGCCAGAATCCGATCAGCTCACTCAGGGGATCTCATGCTTCTGGGAACCAGAATCAAGGGCTGAAGCGCTTGATTCCCCAACGAGGGCCCGGACTCCCCGCCACCCTTACTAAAAACCGCCGTTGGTTTGAACGGAAACAGGCAGCTAACACCCCAGTGGGCGCTTGATGAAGCTCTTGCGGGCCTCACCTATCTGGACACATTGTCTCTCTCTCTCTGGGCACTGACCACGTCCCAGCCCGAGCAGCGGGATCCCGATGGGACCGAGGATTGTAAAGAACATGAGGCGGACTCTGCCATGACCTCTGGCCGGATGAGACCACCGCGCCGCAGCCTCGGGGTGTGGGTCTCCTCCAAGGCGGAGCCGGGCCCCGGGAGCCCGCGGGGCGCGGCGGGCCGGCCGGCCGCGGCGATCGGGGACCCCCGCCGGTCCCCCTGCTCCACGCCCGCGCGCACAACCGACGCCCCCGCGTGCCACACCTTGTAGAGCCGCTGCTCGTCCGGTGGCCGCTTGAGGATGCCCTCGACGATGCGCTTCAGCTCGAACACGGTGCTCGACTCCTTGGCGTCTGTGAAGATGGTGGTCTTGTGGCGCCGGATCATGAGGAACACATCCTGGGGGGCAGCGGGCGGCGTCAGCGCCCGGCCGCCGGCCCCCCCGCGCGGCCCCGCGCCCCCGCCGCCCCCCGGCCCGGCCGGGCCGCCCCTCCCCCCGCGCCCGCTCACCATCCCGGCGGCTGCTTCTGGCTCGACGCGCCGGCGCGGCCTCGCCCCGCCCCTTACCAGCAGCCCGCGCGCGGCCCAGCGTGCCCTGCGCGCAGCCCCGCCCACCGCGGCGCCACCATTTTAGGTAATCCGGAAGTGGCTCGCGCCGCGCACAGATTAGCAGCCATCTTGTTGCCGAGGCGACTAGGAAGTAGGGTGGAGGGGCGCGGGCGGGCGCGGGCGGGCGCGGGCGGGCGGGGATCCGGGCGGGCGCGGGTGGGCGCGGGCCGGGGCGGGGCGGGCGCGGGCCGGGGCGGGGCGGGGCGCGGATCGGGGCGCGGGCGGGGATCGGGGCGCGGGCGGGCGCGGCGGGCGGGGATCGGCGCGGATGGGCGCGGGCGGGCGGGCGCGGATCGGCGCGGACGGGCGCGGGCGGGCGGGCGGGGATCGGCGCGGACGGGCGCGGGCGGGCGGGGATCGGGGCGCGGGCGGGGCGCGGACGGGCGCGGGCGGGCGCGGATCGGCGCGGGCGGGCGCGGATCGGCGCGGGCGGGCGGGGATCGGCGCGGACGGGCGCGGGCGGGCGGGGATCGGGGCGCGGGCGGGGCGCGGACGGGCGCGGGCGGGCGGGGATCGGCGCGGGCGGGGATCGGCGCGGGCGGGGGCGGGCCGGGGCGGGGATCGGCGCGGCGTGGGGCGGGGATCGGGGTGGGGATTGGCGCGGCGCGCGCCCGGCTCGCGCCCCCGAGGCCGTGCGGCGCGGCCTCCGCCTGGCGCCCGGGCCCCGTCTCTCCGGGGACCGGGACGCCGGCGCCGAGCTGAGGGGCGTCGGCGAGGCTCGCGGGTGTGGTCTGGGGGGCGGATCGCCCTCCGCCGGTGGCCATCTTGGAGAGGTGTGGAGCTCTGAGACGGGCCCGGCTCCGGCTCCAGACCCCGGAAGTGAAAACGGAGAACTCGGGGCGCTCGCCCCTGCCCAGGGTCCACCCTAGGGGGAGGCCAGCAGGCCTCGGGCCCCACGCCTGTAATCGCGGCTGCCCCGGAGCCTGAGACCCTGGGGATGGTGGTTCGAAGCCAAGCCCCGCAGGAAAGTCCGCTGAGACCGTTTCCAAAATAACCAGTGTGGGGCTGGGGTGAGGCTCAGTGGCCAAGTGCTTGACTAGCAAGTGCCAGATCCTGGGTTCGATCCCCAGTACCAAAAAAGAAAAAGGCAATAGCCAGTGAAGCCGGGTGCCCGTGGCTCACGCCTGCGATCCTAGCTACTCAGGAGGCTGAGATCGGAGGATCACAGTTCAAAGCCAGCCTGTGAGACTCCTATCTCCAATGAACCACCAGAAAACCGGAAATGGCACTGTAGCTCAAGTGGTAGAGCGTTTACCCCGAGCTGAAGAGCACAGGGACAGCGCCCAGGCCCAGTGTTGAAGCTCCACGACTGATAAACAAGTGATAAAGCAGAACTGAGGGCTTGGCTCAAGTGGTAGAGGACCTACTTAGCAAGTATAAGATCCAGAGTTAGAACCCCAGTACTGCATTTGTTTTAAAAGGGGGAGTGAGAGGGATATCCATATCTGAGTCTTTGAGATGTCAAGCTGCAAAGCATTTTGGGTAGAGAAAAATCTCAGGATATGTCTGGCAAATGGAAATCCTGAAACTCAAAGCTATTGCTCCTGAGTTGGGTAGGCCCGGATCACCTCGCCATGTTAATAAATTACAGCACCTTTTTCACTTCCCAGAACCAAAGCTATGATTAGAGGTTGGTAGATTTCATGGCTGTGAATTATTCTCCCAGCTCAAAAAGTGTACAGGCCAAGCGAGGTAAGGATGCCTCAGGCCTGTAAACCTAACTTGTCTGGAGGCTGAGATCTGGAGATTGCAATCCTAAGCCAGCCCAGGCAGTCCACGAGACTCTTATCTCCAGTTAACCAACAGAAAGCCAGCTCTAGCTGTGACTAGAGTTAGAGCTCTGGCCTTGAGCAAAAAAGTTCCCTGTGAGGGTGCAAGTCCCAAGACACTCCCTCTCCCCCCTCCCCCCAGTATAAAGGCCATAGATAGGAACCACGCATGTCCTGTAGGGAGTACACAGTGTTTCTCTTCTTAAAAATCTCTCCTTTTTCTTATTACATGGAAATAAGTTCTTGCTAAACCTTCCCCCTTGTGAGACACTAGTGAGACACCTGGAAAGTCACACAAGTAGATGACATGTTCCATGATTTTGTGTGCAAACTGAGAAGCTGAGGGAACTCGCTCATGCCTGAACCGGTGACAGGTGTATAGTTTTGTACCTTCTGGTCACTGTAGTGGAAGAATCTCCTCCTCCCTTAGGCTTGGGTCTAGTGGTTGATGATGCCAATCCAGAAAGGCTTTATGGCCAGTAAGTTAGCTAGGCGAGTAGTCTGCCATTCCCCTCAGCTACCATGTGAGATTTTAAAGCATGCCATGTGAGATGCAGTATCTCAAAATGCATGCACAGGATCAAGCCTGCCTGTACGTGTGATGACAAGTCTTTCCAGTGTGCATGTGTTTCCTCAATGCAGTTTCCTTTGTTTGGAGCCACACAGCTAAGAGAAAGAGCCCCAGCATCTCCTACTTGCTGGAAGCAATAAACCCCTCTCCACTCTAATCTCCTCCTTGTGTTCTTTGCCTTGAGCTAGTGACTGAACACGTCTGGGCTCCTGTTCTTGCTCTGCAGCAGCTTTGGGCAGTTCGCCTCATCCAGAAATTCTTCCCTCTCTCTAAGATGGGGGATTAGTTGTCTTGGCATACATTGGCACTCTGTACCTGCTTCCAAAGGTTTAACAAGTTATTGGTCACTTGTAGAGTGACAGCCTTAGGTTCCTCTTGAACCCCTTAAGTCTCTTCCCTGGGTGTGGTCCTCCCCCTCCCCCACCCATCTCCCAGCCTTTCAGGTCCACAGGAAAGGGTTTAAAGCTGTTACCACGCCAGTGGTGGACAAGATGTGACTGAGGGAGTCCAGCTTCAGCAGGCCGCGTTCCCCCTGCCCCCAGGCTGGCCTTGCTGGCAGCTGGGACACACAGCTGCCGGGATTGGGAAAAGCTGCTGCTTGCCAGCACCACGGGAGTGTGGGAGACCACACTCTTGGGGTGGGAGGTAGTGGCTGGTCCTAGAAGCAGACAGCTGGGCATGAATCCTAGTCTACTACAGACAGCTGTGACTGGCCTCAGCTATGATTTGGGGGTCTCTTCTCACCCCACCCACCCCCACCATGTAGCTTCCACTAAGAATGGGCCTAACCAGGAGCAACAAGGGCTTCGCGGCCATCCCCCCCTGCAGCGCTCAGGTCTCAGCAGCCCTCTTATGATAGGCTTTCTGGATGTGAGTCATGGCAGGCCCCAGGCCTTTGGCCTGCTTTCCTCTTGATCTCATCTCCTGTGCAATCCCTTGGGGGGGGGGGGGCTTCCAGAAGGAAGGTCATGTGGGATCCATGTGGCCCTGAGCAGCATTAACCAGTAGGAACTGCCATCAACGAGCCCACGGTCTCCCGAGGCCAGCCTGCCCCCCCCCCCCCCCCCAGCATAGACCAGCTGTGCTGCAGAGTGGACTGCCCTCGGCCTGGAGGCAGAGGGAGCGGCCTTGAGCTCTGCCTCTGACACAAAGTGGCTGGAGTCAGCAGTGACCTTCCCAAGCGGCCTGAGTGGGGCCCGGGCAACTGCCTCTGAGGTTCCTCCATTATTTTCCCTGGCTCACCCATCAGCTCCAAAACATAAGCTTTGAATTGTCCAGGTTTGGTTCACTTTCTTGCTCCTTCTGTAGCTCTAGTGACTCTTATCACTAGGTCCCAGCGGCTCACGTCTATATCTTAGCTTCTCAGGAGGCTGAGATCTGAGGATAGCAGTTCAAAGCCAGCCCAAGTAGAAAAGTCTCTAAGATGATGATTCTTCTTCTACTTTCTTCTTCTTCGTTGTTGTTGGTCGTGGGACTGAACTCAGGGACTGAGCTCTTCAGCTCAAGGCTAGTGCTCCACCACTTAAGCCACTTCTGGATTTTTCTGCTTAGGTGGTACTGAGGAATGGAACCCAGGGCCTCCTGCATACAAGGCAAACACTCTACCAATGAGCCACCTTCCCAGCTCAGTCTCAAAGATTCTTATCTCCAGTTAACCACCAAAAAGCTAGAGTAGAGATAGATCACTAGCCTTGAGCAAAAAAGCTACAGACAGTGCCCAAGGGCTGAGTTAGAGCCGCAGTACCTACACTGTAAAACAAAGAAACTGATCCTTATCTATTAGGCAGTGTCCTGGGCCCCAGGAGCGGACTCTAGGTCCCTAGGAGGTACAGGATGGGAGGGAGGGCCTGGGTCCAGGTTCTAGATTCCCCCTAGGAGTAGATGGTGTCCATGAACAGCTGGACAGCAAGAGCTGTGGCTAGGCCTCCTGAGAGCTGACATGTGAGGTCTGTGTGCCCGGGCCTCCCCAAAGGGCAAAGGGCACGACTCCTCCCCCAGGACGCCCTGCCTCACGTGTGCAAACTCTGGAGATTTTTTTTTTGTTTGTTTGAGACAGGGATTCACTTTGTCCCCAGGCTAGCCTAGAATTCTCTCATTTTACCTCAGCCTCCCAGATGCTGAGTTTACAGGCGTGTGTCACCACACCAGGCCCTAGATTAGCTTTTATGGCTGCATAATAACCTGCCACAAAGGTAGCAGTTTAAAACAACACAAATTTATTAAATCACTACTCAGTGGATGAGAAGCCAGGGGAAGGGGCTCAGCAGGTCTCTCCAGGCTGAAACTGGGTTCTTTTCTGGTGTTGGGGAAGAATTTATCTCCAAGCCCCAACATGTTAGCAGAGTTGGCTTTGATGCAGCCAGCCGGGGCAGCCACCAGCCCCTGCAGCCAACAACGGAGACTCCCTGGTGTTGAGTCCCCATCCTGTTTCCACTCTGACTTCCTCCAGGAAGTGAGGGGCACGCAGCCCAGATGAACCATCAGCTGGGTTGCCCATCTCTGGGTGCCCTGGCCCCATCCCAGGCCAGAGGAGGGTAACCAGGAACCAGGAGGGAAGGGGGAAAGTGTGAGCATGAATGATGGTGACAGAGATCAGTGGACTCCTCAGAGGATCGGAGGCAGAGGATGGACAGATGGGTGGCTGGGTGGCTCCTGAGCATGTCAGCCTCTAGGCTGAAGGGTTGGGGCAGGTGCATGTGACTAGACAGACCAGGAGGCCCAAGGACCAAAGTGACTGCTCCAGGCAGCAGAGCTCCACCCAGCCGACAGCATCACAGGCTGAGGTGAGCCTGAAGCCACCGGCTGTACTTGGCCACGTTGGTATACACGCCTGGTCTGTTGGGCAGGGCACAACTCTTGCCCCAGCTCACCACACCCACCAAGACCCAGCGTCCAGATTGCACGCAGGCCAGGGGTCCCCCGGAGTCACCCTGCAGGAGAAAGGCCAGCTGAAGGACCAGCGTCCCCCACCATAATCTTCTAGGCAGCTCCCCCAGAATTCACGCTGGAGATCTGATCTCCTGTCCTGGGTTCTGGGGATGTGGAGGTCAGAGGAGGCGGGGTACGTGGGGGACACGCACCTGGCAGGCATCCTTGTGGCCCTGGAGGTAGCCAGCACACAGGTTGCCCGGCAGGACTATGCGCTCAGCCCGGGGCACGTCAGTGCCCACGTGGTAGAGCCGGTCACAGGCCTTGGAGTCCAGCAGTGGCACCCGCGCTCCCTGCAGAGGGCGCCAGTCTGGGAGCGGAACTGGGAGAGGGAGAAAGTCAGGAGGGCATGAGGCCTGCAGCCCCTCTGCCAGGCAGAGGCCTCCGAGGGCCCACTGTGAGCAGATTGGGGGCCTCAGAAGTGACTCTGGGCCGGGTACCGGTGGCTCACGCCTGTCATCCTAGCTACTCAGGAGGTTGAGATCTGAGGATCACGGTTCAAAGCCAGCCCGGGCAAGGAAAGTCTGTGAGACTCTGATCTCCAATGAACCACCAGAAAACCGGAAGTGGCGCTGTGGCTCAAGTGGTAGAGCGCTCGCCTTGAGCTGAAGAGCTGAGGGACAGCGCCCAGGCCGAGTTCAGGCCCCACGACCGACCACAAAAAAAAAGTGACTCTGGGAGGCTGCGAAGGTGGGTCCCCAGTCAGATGGAGGAGGCTGGGCCTCCCCATTGCCCTCCCCGTGTCTCACCTCCGGGCTGGAGGCTGCCCCAGCCTGTGACCCAGCACGCTGCCCCATGAGGAGGCCGGGAGCCGGGCGGGGGCAGGCACACAGGCTGGACGTGGGCGCTCAGGGGCACCGGGCGGCCGAGCTGCAGCAGCGCCAGGTCTCCTCGGGCCTCATCCTCCGAGTAGTCTGGGGGCAGCAGCACGCGGCGCACAGGTGCCGAGACGGCGTGGGGGGACGCGAGGCGCAGCCGCAGGGCCCCGAGGCGCACGTGGTACTCGGATGGCAGCACCCGTCTGAGAAAGGAGTTGGGGCCGCTCTGTGGAGGGGGAAGAAGGGCCAGGCCTCCCCCCGGCTCTTCCTTGGGCTCGGGGGTGGGGGGGCTGACCTGGGGAAGCAGTGCGCTGCTGTCAGCACCCATTGGGGTGCAATGAGTGACCCCCCACACACGTGGACCCCGCGGTGCTGGATGCTGGCCTGCCATGGCCACTCTCCATTGCGGGCATCACGGCCCCCCACGATGCGACTGGACACTTGGGGCTGCCCGCAGGCTTCGAGAGAACAGAGAGACAGTGGGCGTGGACCAGGGACAGGGCCTGGGAAGTGGGGGTTGAGGAGGCAGGCTCGGGGTTCAGGGGGCGCAGGCTCTGAGGTGGGCTTACCTGCGGATGCCTGCGCCCCAGCAGTCTCTGCAGGAGGAAGAGGAGGAGGAACTGGATTAGGGATCGGGTGTCAGGTAACAAGCCGGGGCAGAGGTGGCGCAGATGGGGCATGTGGCAGCGGCTTCTGGGCACTCTGTCACCTGATTTAAGCTGCAGGGTAGGGTGGGACTTAGGCTTTATACAGGATTCATGCAGGATGTCAGAGAGGACTTGGCCCTTTGAATTAAACCAGCTGGGGCTGGGCACTGGTGGCTCACGCCTTGTGATTCCTAGCTGCTCAGGGGGCTGAGATCTGAGGGGCAAGATTCAAAGCTAGCCCGGGAAGGAAAGTCCCTGAGATTCGGATCTCCAATGAACCACTAAAAAGCTGCAAGTGGAGCTACGGCCTAAGTGGTAGAATGCTAACCTTGACTGAAAAAGCTCAGGGATAGAGCCTAAGTTCAAGCCCCAGGACCAACTCAAAATGATAAAGGAAAAGAATGGGCCGGGGTGCTCAGCTGCAAGGCCCAGCACCCCCGCCCAGCCCCACTCACCCAGCACCAGCAGGAGCAGGACCCAGAGGCGGGGAGCTCCCCTCATCCTATCTTCAGGGCTGGTCTGGGTAGAGGTAGCACTGCTCAGGCTTGGACTCTGGTCTGAAGTCGGTAGGGAGCAGAGAAGAACATCCCAGCCCTTGGGGACACACCACCCCACTCTCGCCTCTGCGCCTCTTCCCTCTGCCATCAGCGGCATCTGCTTGGTTCTGGATTGGTCTCTGTCACCCAGACTATACCCTTACCCTGCCCAGGCCCAGGTGGGCATCTGTGACAGGTGTGTCTGACAATTGTTCTAGAATCTCATCCTCCTGGCCATTCCCCGGCCACTGCCCTGTCCTTCCCCCCCGGTGAGCCCTGAACCTGCTCTCACCTGCACGGCCTGTGCCCTCTTGGCTGACTGGGGGCCAGGGGAGGACCTGGGGGCTTAAAGGACAGAGGGGTGGAGGCCCCGCCTGGGGAAAACTAACACTGCGAGGCGGGCCTGTGGCTTCCCCTAAGCAGCCTCAAACAAAGATGCTTTGAGCAGTACTTTGGCAGAGGCAGGAAAAGGACACCAGGAGCAGGGCAGGGAGGGGGAGGCCGCGGCAGGCAGGGATCTCCGGAGGATCCTGGGCAGGTCATCTCTGAACCTGAGCCTGCTTCCTGGTCCCCAGCGCGGGCACTGGGGCTTCTGAGCTCTATTGTTCAGTCTGGTAATCCCAGCTCAGCCCAGACCGGCCAGCCTCCTACGTACCTCCACACCCTCGATCGTGGCCTCAGACCTCAGGCCTGGCCCCACCGAGCCCACCCAGAGCCCCCAGAGCTAGACCGGAAGTGAGTGGCTCAAACCTGGCAGCCCTTCCTGCCTGAGCATGAGCAGAAACAGCCTCCATCTTGGGAAATGATACACATTTTGGCTTGAGGTGGCCACATCAGAGCACTCCTCTGTGTGGGGTGGGGTGGGGTGGGGGGTGGGCTGGGAGATGGCAGGCTAGGCCAGTGTGTCCCCTCAGGTCCCCTTCCAGTGCTGGCTGCCCATCACACACCCTCTCTGCCTGGTCCTCATAGCTCTGGCCATGGCCATGTCAGAGTAGCGATCTGTCTTCAGGAGGGGAGGGGTTGGGGGGTGAGGTTTATCTCACAGGGCAGGGAATGAATCTGTGCCCATATTGTGAGCTCAAGCTTCTAGAGGCTGACAAGCTGACCATGACCATCAAGGAGATGTCGAATCTCCCGTCTGGTCTTCCAAGGCCCCAGACAGGCCAAAGCTACAGCCTTTCTTCTGGAAATGACCTCTCTTTGGGAAGGACTCTGGTGTTTGAATCAAAATCATGGCCAGGTTTAGGAGCTGCTAGGAGGAGGTTTAGTGTGAACCCAGGGTGGTCTTCAAGAAGTCAATGGAGAATTGATGAAGCTTCTCGAAGCATCAGCTTACATGCTCATGTGCATGGCGTTTATTAACAAGAGGAAAACAGAGCTCACTCCCCTCCACACTGGGTGGGTCTGGGCCTGGGGGGTGTAGCAGCACCAGATCCAGACCTGCACTGGGTTGGGGGACTCAGGCTGGGCCCCGGAGCGGGGAGCCCAGGGAAGAGTGAGGAGCAGCAGCCGTGACAGCCAGGGCTCGGGCCTGGGCGCGCCGCTGGGGATCACGGTCTGGATCCAGTCGAAGTGCTGACTGACGTTGGTGTAGACGCCAGGCTTCCTGGGCCGACCGCAGCCCTGGCCCCAGCTCACCACGCCGACCTGATACCACAGCCCGTTCTCTTCACAGACCAAGGGTCCTCCGGAGTCACCCTGGGGAGGGGCAGGGGTGAGGGGCAGGGGCGAGGGGCAGGGGTGAGGGGCAGGGGCGAGGGGCAGGGGGGAGGGGCAGGGGCGAGGGGCAGGGGCGAGGACCAGGGGCGAGGGGCAGGGGCGAGGACCAGGGGCGAGGGGCAGGGGCGAGGACCAGGGGCGAGGGGCAGGGGCGAGGGGCAGGGGCGAGGGGCAGGGGCGAGGACCAGGGGCGAGGGGCAGGGGGGAGGGGCAGGGGTGAGGACCAGGGGCGAGGACCAGGGGCGAGGGCCAGGGGCGAGGGGCAGGGGCGAGGGCCAGGGGCGAGGGGCAGGGGCGAGGGCCAGGGGCGAGGGCCAGGGGCGAGGGGCAGGGGCGAGGGGCAGGGGCCAGGGGCAGGGGCGAGGGGCAGGGGCGAGGGGCAGGGGCGAGGGCCAGGGGCGAGGGCCAGGGGCGAGGGGCAGGGGCGAGGGGCAGGGGCCAGGGGCAGGGGCGAGGGGCAGGGGCGAGGGGCAGGGGCGAGGGGCAGGGCCGGCTCCCGGGTGGGGAGGATCACTCACTTTGCAGCTGTCCACGCTGCCATCCTCAGCGCCTGCACAGATCATGTCGCTTTGGATTATATCGAGTCTTAGGGTGGTGTACAGATCATTACACCTGGAGTTGTTCATGATGGTGACCTGAGCTTCCCGGAGGTGGTAGGGTGGCTGGAGTTCTGGGAGTGGAGCAGAGACAACACAACATGAGTCTCCTGCCCCAGAAGGAGGAGACAGCCTGTCCCGTGCAGGTGTCCCTGGGGATCACCTCACAGTTGTGACTCACGCTGTCACAGAAGAATGGACAGGCTTGACCTTCACAAAAGCCCAGGTAGGAAGGGGTTAAGGAGGTGCTTTGGGGCCGTAGGGACGCAGAGGAGGGGGTACATCAGGCTGAGATGGAAGACACCAGGCAGGAAAAAACTCAAAAGTCTTACAAAGAAACAAGGAGAGCTGGGAAAGGCCACTACGCAGCTGAACGTAAAGCGTGGTAGCACTGGAGTTTTGGTTTTGTTTTTGGTTTTGGTTTTTGGAGCAGTACTGGGCAGAGTACACTTGAACCACCTCTTAATCTCCCACCCCCCACTTTTTGAGACAGGATCTTGCTGTGTAGCCTGAGGTGGCCTCCAAATTTCCATCTTCCTGCATCTGCTTTCTCAGTGCTGGGATTACAGGTGTGAGTTACCATGCCTGGCTACCAAAGTGTTTGTAGAGTTTTCTTGGCCATTTGTTCTTTGTGTTGCTGCAACTTATATGTCCTCTGCGTTTTCTGATAATGGGGTGCAGCCCAGGGTGAGTGGAGAAGGAAAGAACTGAGTTGGCTGCTCCTGCGGCCTGCGGTGAGCTAATCAGCCTCTAATCTCTTAGCTGAGCTTGAGTGGATATCGTGTCCCAGTCTAAACCTCTGGTCTTTAACAAAAAACTCCTAAGATTTAAAAAAACATTTAGCTGAAGGTACTGGGATTATGAGGTTCCAGGTTCAACCCAGAGCACTGAGAAAGCAAGAGACACGGAAAACAACAATTGTAAGTTCCCAGTAGTTTACACAATGTGTAAGGGCGTAAATTACAATAGCTCCCGGCACAGCTGGCTCACACCTATAATCATAGCTACTGAGGAGGCAGAGCTTTGCGGGTCAAGGTTTGAAAACACCTAGGGCAGAATAAGCTTGTGAGGCTCTTTTTGTTTTTTGCGGGGGGGGGGGGGGGGGGGGGGGGGGGGGGGGGGGGGGGGGGGGGGGGGGGGGGGGGGGGGGGGGGGGGGGGGGGGGGGGGGGGGGGGGGGGGGGGGGAGAAGTGGGGGGGGGGATAGGGCTTGAACTTGGGGCTTGGATTGCTTAAGGTTACTGTCAATGACTTTGCGCCATAGCACCACTTCCAGTTTTCTGGTGGTTTATTGGAGCAGAGAGTCTCATTATCTTTCCTGCCTGGGCTGGCTTTGAACCGAGATCCTCAGATCTCAGCCTCCTGAGTAGCTAGGATGACAGGCGTGACCACCAGCACCCAACCCTGTAAGACTCTCATCTCCAATTAGCAGCCATAAAAGCCACAAAGGAAGGTGTGGCTCAACTGGCAGAGCACCAGCCTTGAGTAAAAAAGCTAAGGGGCAGCACCTAGACCCTGGGTTCAAGCCCCAGAACCAGCACACAGAAACCAGTCACGGATGGACAAAGAAATAATGGTGTCCAGAAACTGTGCTGCGAGTAGAACATTCCAAATGTAGGACTGCATGCGTGTGAAATGCACAGGGGAGCAGAATCCGGAGGTTGGAGGTTCTCAGGGCTGTGGAGAGGGGCCGGGAGGAGGGAAGGCTTGGTGAGGGAGGGTCCCCACAGGGCCCGAGGCGGAGGGGCAGAGCCAGAGCCCGCGGAGGGGTTGCAGGGCCTAGTGCTGCCGGCTCAAAGCAAGGACACGCCCACCCACGTGCACCCAGCCTCACTCTGGTTCTCTTGGAGCCAGCCCCAGCCGGTCACCCAGCAGTCAGGCCGGTGCTGGAACATGGAGGTGGAAGACAGGATGCAGACGGGCTGGATGTGCTGGTTGTAGGGGACGGGGGAGGCCAGCTTCACCAGCGCGATGTCGTGGAGCTTCCTGTCTGCGAGGGGGTTCATGATGATCTTCTTCACCTTGTACCGGTTGGAGTAGGCCTTCAGGTTCCAGAGAGATGGTCGGGAAGTTAGCTCCCCAAACTGGACGGTCCACGTATGTGGATCAGGGGACCTGGTGGGAGGAGAGAGCAGTGGAGGCAGGAGGGCGGCCTCCGGGCATCCACCCCGCACCTCCCTTAGGGGTCATGGTGGGTGGGGCTGCTACCACTTGCTCATCCTGGACACCAGTGCCAAGAGTCTCTGTAGATACCAGATGGGCCACAAGCAAACTCCTGAGCAGGGCCAGGGCTCTGGGGGGTCTGCAGGAAGGGGGCTGCCTTGTCACCTTGTACAGCTGTCCTCTGGGGACTCCTGGGTATCCCTAAGTAGCCTGAGCAATAGTGGCTGGGGTGACTGTGGGGCCCTGGGCAGGATGGAGTAAGACAGCAGCTCTGGAGAACTGTGCAGGGCGCGGGCCGGACCGAGGCCCAGCACGCCTCATCTCCACCCACAGGCAGACTCACCGTGCTCCCAGGCTGGCTCCCTTTGGGTAAAAACTGAGGGAAGAGGAAGGAGGAGGAGGAACAGAACAGGAGTGGGAACGGGAATAAAGTGTTCTAGTGTAGCCGTCTAGAAGAATGGGAATTTCAGGGTTGGTGGCTCACACCTAGGATCCTAGCTACTCGGGAGGGTGAGATCTGAGGATCGCAGTTGGAAGCCAGCCCTGGGCAGAAACAGTGGTGAGGCTTTTATCTCCAATTAACCACACACACACACACACACACGCACCACACGCACACGCACGCCCAGAAGTGGAGCTATGGCTCAAGTGGTAGAGCCCTCGCCTAGAGCAAAAGAAGCTTGGGGACAGCGCCCAGGCCCTGCGTTCAAGCCCCAGGACTGGCCAACACAGGCACAAGGGAGACCGGGCACTCCATGCGCCCAGGGCAGGGGGCGGTGCGGGGCGCCCGGGGGCGGGGGGGGGCGGTGCGGGGCGCCCGGGGGCGGGGGGGGGGCGGTGCGGGGCGCCCGGGGGCGGGGGGGGGGGCGGTGCGGGGCGCCCGGGGGCGGGGGGGGGGGTGCGGGGCGCCCGGGGGCGGGGGGGGGGCGGTGCGGGGCGCCCGGGGTTGGGGGGGGGCGGTGCGGGGCGCCGGGGCGGGGGGGGGGGCGGTGCGGGGCGCCGGGGCGGGGGGGGCGGTGCGGGGCGCCCGGGGTTGGGGGGGGGCGGTGCGGGGCGCCCGGGGCGGGGGGGGGGCGGTGGGGGCGCCGGGGCGGGCCGGGCCGCTCACCTCCTGAGGCAGTGGGCGGCCGTGAGCACCCACCGGTGGTTCAGCAGGCTCCCTCCGCACTCGTGCGCTCTCCTCAGGCGCAGGCTGACCTGCCACGGCCAGCGCCCGCGCACCGACTCCTCGCCGCCCACTATCAGCGGCCGCACGTCCCGCTGGCCGCAGGGGCCTAGGACGGACAGACGGACAGGAGGCGGAGCCCGCGCGGCCGCCCGTGCCACCCCAACGCCCCGCCGGCCCGCACCCCGGTTCCCCCCCCCCCCCCCCCGCCCCGCGGCCCGCACCCCGGTCCCCCCCCCGCCCCGCGGGCCACCCCCGCACCCCGGTCCCCCCCCACCTCCCCCCCCCCCGGTTCCCCCCGGGTCCCACCCCCCCCGCCCCGCGGCCGCACCCCGGTCCCCCCACCTCCCCCCCCCCCCGCCCGCGGGCCGCACCCCCGGTCCCCCCCCACCCCCCCGCCCCGCGGCCGCACCCCGGTCCCCGACCCCCCCCACCTCCCCCCCCCCCCCCCGCGGCCGCACCCCCGGTCCGTCCCCCCCACCTCCCCCCCCCGGTCCCCCCGGTCCCCCCCCGCCCCGCGGCCGCACCCCGGTCCCCCCCCCGCCCCGCGGCCGCACCCCGGTCCCCCCCCCCGCCCCGGGGCCCGGCGGTTACTGGTGAGCAGCCTGGCGTCCGCGGGACCTGCAGCGGACCGAGGAGAGGACCGGGTGAGGCCTCCGCGCCCCACGCGGGCCCCGCGCCGGCCGCGGCCCCCGGGCCTCACCTGACGCCCCGTCCTGCGGCGGCCCCGCGGGGGGCGGAGGGGACGCGCGGCCGCCCCCGGCCCCGCCGCGCCCGGGCTCCGCGGGCCGCAGGGCTCCCGCCCGACACAGCAGCAGCCACAGCAGCAGCGGCAGCGGCGGCAGCGGCGGCCGTCCGCGCGCCCCCATGGCCGAGGCTCCGGGCCGGCGGCGGGCGCCCCCTGCGGGACGGGCGGCGGGGTGAGCGCGGGCGCCCCCTGCGGGACGGGCGGCGGGGCGGGCGCGGGCGCCCCTGCGGGACGGGCGGCGGGGGTGAGCGCGGGCGCCCCCTGCGGGACGGGCGGGGCGGGCGCGGGCGCCCCCTGCGGGACGGGCGGGGTGAGCGCGGGCGCCCCCTGCGGGACGGGCGGGGTGAGCGCGGGCGCCCCCTGCGGGACGGGCGGGGCGGGCGCGGGCGCCCCCTGCGGGACGGGCGGCGGGGTGAGCGCGGGCGCCCCCTGCGGGACGGGCGGGGTGAGCGCGGGCGCCCCCTGCGGGACGGGCGGGGTGAGCGCGGGCGCCCCCTGCGGGACGGGCGGGGCGGGCGCGGGCGCCCCCTGCGGGACGGGCGGCGGGGCGGGCGCGGGCGCCCCCTGCGGGACGGGCGGGGCGGGGCGGGAGCAGCGCGCGGCCCGCCTCGGCCGGGCACCGTCTCCCCGGACCTCCCCGGGCCCAGGCCTTGGGCTGCTCAGAAGGCCGCTGTGCCCCAGGCGTAGCCGCCCTCGCCGGGGGCTGCCTGAGCCGGTGGATTTCAGCCCACGGGAGCGATGGGTGCCGCGGGAGCCGGGAGAACGCAGGGTCTGCGCCCCGCCCGGCCCGGGGCTCAGCGCGCCCTGCGCGAGGCCTCCGGGAGGCCGCGGGCCCGGCCCGGCAGCCCCGGCTGGCGGAGCAGCTGTGCGCAAGCGCCTGCAGGCACTGTGCCGGTGCCTCTTAACGAGCGCGCTGTGCGTGCCGGGAGTCCAGGGCCGGGACCCCGGCGCTGGCCAAGAGCCCGGCCCAACCCAGAGCTGCAAACCACCGGCCGTGCGGGACGCCAGGCCCGCGTCCACCGGCGCGGGGCCCGAGGCTCCGCCCGTGGCTGCAGGACAGGGTGGAGGCTCAGCCCCACCCCAGGGCCAGCCCGGGCCCCGCCGCAGCTGCAGTCGCCTTCCTCCTTCCCGGACTGACTGCAACTCTGACCCCGCACGCAGCCACGGCGCGCGCCTGGGCGCCATGGAGCTGGCCCCGCGTGCCATCCTGCTCGCCCCTCCTTCCTGGAGCCCTTCTAGTCAGCGAGAGCCCCCCAACTCCCCCAGATAGCCCGTTTCCCCAGACTGACTATGGCAGAAACCTGAATTCAGGTAGGCTGTGAGGTGGTGGGAGACACAGGAGCTACAGGAGGGCCCACAAAGCCTGAGCTCCCCAAGAACCTTGACCCCTGGGCTTGGAGCCGTGTTCTTGGGCTGGTCCTGTCAGGAACCCAGGCATTAGGGCCTCGTCCTGGTCAGGTCCTTCCCGAGGTGGTGACAGGTGAAGGTGGCTGGGGAGGGAGGGAGGGGGGGGGAGGGAGGGAGGGGGAGAGGGGGGAGGGAGGGAGGGAGGGAGGAGGGCGGGCGGGCGCGTGGCCGCGTCTCCCCGTGTCTCACGGTGCTGGTTCTCTGCAGTGTGCGGACGTGTGCAGGCGTCGGATCGCATTGTGTCGGGGCAGGATGCCAAGCCGGGCCAGTGGCCCTGGCAGGTCAGCCTGAGGCAGTATGGCCAGCACGTGTGTGGTGGCTCCGTGATTTCTGAAGACTGGGTGCTGACAGCTGCCCACTGCTTCAACCAGTGAGTGTCTCCCCAGGGTGCACAAGCCCCTTCCAGGCGCTCTTGTTTTCCTTTCCAGCCACACCCTCACCTCTGCCTGCTTGGTCAGAAGGGGAGGCAGGGCTGTCCCCTCCTGCCATCTTGTCTTGCTTCTCTATCCATCATGGCCCCTGATCTTGGGCTAGTACTGGGGCTGGGGGGGGGGAGATGGGAGAATCCAGCCTGCTCACTTCCTCTCTGATACCACCGGTTTCTCCCAAATTGATGTTCCTCTTGAGAACCCAAAGTCTTGAGTGCACTGATTATTATACCAGCGTTTGCACTGGTGACGGGTCTTCAATTGGTGATTTTTTTTTTTTGGTCCGGTTGTGGGGCCTGAACTCTGGGCCTGGGCGCTGTCCCGCCCTCTTCAGCTCAAGGCGAGCACTCTACCACTTTGAGTCACAGCGCCACTTCTGGTTTTCTGGTGGTTCATTGGAGATAAGAGTCCCACAGACTTTCCTCCCCTTGCTGGCTTTGAATCGGGATCCTCAGATCTCAGCCTCCTGAGTAGCTAGGATTACAGGCGTGAACCGCCGGTGTCTGGCTTGTGTTGACTTCGAATAGCGATCACACACAGGGTAGCACGTTGTCTTCCCTCCACACACACACACACACACACACACACACACACACACACACACACCCGGGACCCTGGCACAGCTTGAACGGCCCCCTTGGCCTTCCTGTCCCCCAGGAACCAGCCCCTGTCCGCCTATATGGTGCTGCTGGGCTCCATCTCCTCCTACCCAGAGGCCGGCGAGGCGGGCGAGCTGCGGGCCGTGGCGCAGATCTTCAGGCACCCGAGCTACTCGGATGAGGAGCACAGCATGGGTGACATCGCACTGCTGCGGCTGGCCTCTCCCGTCTCCTTCAGTGAACTCATCCTTCCGGTCTGTCTCCCCAAGCCCGGAGACCCCCTGGATCCTGGCATCAGGTGTTGGGTCACCGGCTGGGGGTACACTTCTCCGACTCAGAGTAAGGAGGCTCAGAGCTGGGGGTGGGGCACAGGAAGTAGGGGGCTCAGCAGAAGCAGCTGGTCAGCTGTGGAACCCATGCACGAAGAACGGCCACCAGAGGGCGTCCACGAGTCCCCGGCCAGGCCCACCCCTCTGGGCCAGCGTGCGCCTCGGCACCCCGGTGGCCACAGGTCGCACTGAATGGCCTCCATTCTCCCTGGGCCCTGGTTTCTCACTGAGATCTTCAGTGCCTCACATGCTGGGTTGATGCAAGGGTCATCTGAGGTGTTCTGGCCATTTCTAACAAGGCTGGGAGCTTATCCACCTTCCTTAGTGTCTTGTGCTAATGTCCTGGGGCTCGTGATGAGTGACCTCAAAAGGGTCGGCTCAGAGCCACAGCCGTGAGTTTGTTGTAGTTCAGGGGGTCAGCAGCCTGAGGTGAAGGGCTGTCGGGCCTCTTGGCTCCCGCTGGGACCGCTCTGCGTCTGGCCTCGCCCAGCCTCACTCAGCCTACCCCCACCCCAGGCTGTCCCGTCCGTCCGTCTCCCTGCGCTTCTTATCCTCTCCTGTGTCTTTTGGTGCCCGTGGTGGGCTTGAACTCAGGGTCTCGTGTTCTCCCTGAGCTTTTTTCTGCACAAGACCAGCACTCTCATCACTTGAGCCACAGCTCCACTACTGGCTTTTTGCTGGTTAATTGGAGATGAGTCTCTTGGGTTTGTCTGCCGAGGCTACCTTTGAACTGTGATCCTCAGATCTCAGCCTCCTTAGTAGCTGGAATTACAGGCGTGAGCACTTGTGCCCAGCTGACTCATCTTAAGTGACTGATAGTATCTGCAGAGCCTTGTTTCTTTCTCTTAATTTTTCTTGATATTTGTTTATTTAGGAATTTAGTGTTGGTCCTGGAGCTTGGACTCAGAGTCTAGGTGCTGTCCCCAAGCTTTTTTTTTTTTAAATCTCGCTCTCAAGGTTCTCATTTTATTGTTTGAGCTGTAGCTCGATTTCTAGTTTTTTGATGCTTAGAGGTAAAGTCTTATGGGTTTTCCTGCCCATACTGTCTTCAAACCGTGATCCTCAGATCTCAGCCTCCTGAGTAGCTGACAGGTGTTAGCCTTCATAAAATGTGTGTGTGTGTGTGTGTGTGTGTGTGTGTGTGTGTGCATGCGCGCACAGGCACACACACCATTACCGGGGCTTGAACCCAGGTTCTGGGTGCTGTCCCTCAGGTTTGGCACTCAGGCTGATGGGCTACCACTTGAGCCCCAGCTTTTTGGTGGTGAGGCCCTCAGGCCACCACACCTATGCATGCTGGGCCGGGCCGGGGCAGGAGAGAGCTTGCTTATGAATGTGAAATCCATGGAGGTGGCAGCCGTGTCCCCCTGGCTGAGCTGGGCTCTCCCGTCCCCCAGGTCTCCTGCCCCCCTTCACCCTTCAGGAGGTGGAGCTTCCCCTCATCGCCCAGCAGACCTGTGAGGCCTACTACCAGGGGAACTCGGCGTCCGGCCAGGGGTCCCTCATCCTGGAGGACATGCTGTGTGCTGGCTTCGAGGAAGGCCAGAAGGACTCCTGCTTTGTGAGCAAGCCGGGCCCGCCCCCCCTGTGTCCCCCCAGCCCCCCAGTCCACAGGCTGTCCCTCCCACCCCCCATCACCCCTGGAGATCTTCCAGGACAGAAGACATGTTTATTTGTTTTTTCTTTTCTTTTTGTGGCTGTCCTAGGGTTGGACCCAGGGCCTGGGTGCTCTCTCTGAGCTCTTTGGCTCCAGGCTAGTGTTCCCCCACGTGAATCACAGCTCTACAGCTGCCTGTTTATTTTGCTGGATAATTATTTGAGAGAAGTCTCACAGACTTTCCTGCCTAGGCTGGCTTTGAACCGTGATCCTCAGATCTCAGCCTCCTGAGTCGCTAGGATGACAGATGTGAGCCACCACATCTGGCTTCTTTTATTTTTTTATACATCTATACACAAGGGTCAATGCAAAAAAAGAAGTTTCCAGGGTAGAGCCCTTGCCTAGGCCTTTTGAAGGCCCCAAGATCCATCCCCAGCATCTCAAAAAAAAAAAAAAAAATCAGGACCTGAAGTTTTGTCCTGGATCTTATCTCTACACTGAAAGCTTTCTCTTAAGAATCTTTAAAAAAAAAAAAAAATGTCCTCCCACATGAACTTCAGAGCCTTTGATCATGTTTCCAGCAGTCGGGGCCCACCCTTCAACTGCTCCTGTGAACCCTCTTTATTGTGTTATCTCAAAGAAGAGATTTATTAGATAAAAAAAAAAAAGGCACCAGCAACACAGACACTCTCCCCTGAGTGCTAACTCTTCTTTTTTTATCGGTTGTGGAACTCTGGGCCTGGGCGCTGTCCCTGAGCTCCTCAGCTCAAGGTGAGTGCTCTACCACTTGAGCCACGGCACCAATTCTGGTTTTCTGGTGATTATTTGGAGATAGGAGTCTCCCGGACTTTCCTGCCCGGGCTGGTTTTGAACCGCGATCCTCAGGTCTCAGCCTCCTGAGCAGCTGGGGTTCCAGGTGTGTGCCGCAGGCAGCGGGCAGATGTTTTCATTTTGTAACAGATCGTGCACACCACAGTACTTGTCCCATGTGCTAGGCATTCCCCTTTTCCCCAGACCTTTGCCACCTTCCAGAAACTCCCATCGATTGATCTCCCTTCTAGCCCTGGGCGGGACAGTACCAAAGAGGTTAAGGGAGGTGGTGGGGGTGGGGGAAGTCTGTCTCACAGGGAGGCCGGCCAGCCCAGCAGCCTCTACCTCCAGATCTCTCCGTCTCGTCTCCGCAGGGCGACTCCGGAGGCCCGTTGGTGTGTGATGTGGGCGTGTGGGTGCAGGCAGGGGTGGTGAGCTGGGGGTCTGAGTGTGCCCTGCCCAGGAGGCCAGGAGTTTACACCAACGTCAGCTACTACATGGCGTGGATTGCCAGCGTCCAGAACTCAGCCCCAGGCCGGAGCCGCTCCTCGCCCTCCTCCAGACCCTTGTTCCTGGGGTCCGCTGGTGCTGCCCTCATCTCCCTGTGGCTTCTCTGATGGGTACCCCATTATCTCAGTCCCCACACTCTGAACTGGTGGTGTCTCCCAACCCCTGCCCGGTGCAGGCACTCTGGGCGGCACCCCTTCCTGGGGGCCTTTGTGGGCAGTCATTTGCTGTCTTCCGTCCTCCAGCCTCCAGGAGCCCTGTCCTGTCTCTCTCCAGAGAACTCTCCCTCCAGTCTCCACACAGATTCCTCTTCAGACTCTTGGGGACCCCTCAGCTAACCCCCGGCCTCTTATTTGTCTCCTCTGGGCCCTGGTCACCCTTCACCCAGGACGGAGCCGCAGGGCGCGGCCTCCACTCAGGGCACTTGGCTGGTTTCTGGGTCTCCTGGGCTGGGTGGATCCGTTTCACTGAAGCAATAAAGCCTGGACCTGCGCACTTCCTCCTCTGCCAACTCGCCACAGCTTTCACCGGGAGTCCCCTGAGATGCCTCACGCACACAGGCTCACCCAGGGCTCCCCTTGTTCTCAGAACAGGAGGCGGAGGACGGGAGCAGGAGGCCCGCCCACTCTCCCGGGAAACCCGGTTGCTAGGCCCATGGAGCTGCCTGTGAGCGTACCCTGGCGCGTGGGACCCCTACAGGACCGGCGGAGGGGGGCCACGGAGGGTGGGAGTGGATCCCAGTGGTGTGGGCTGGCTGGGGCTCAATCCCAGGATCTCCTGGGCAGAGAGGTAGGGTCGGTCTCAGTGTCCTGAGGTTCTGATGCCAACCCCAGAGCTGTGGCAGAGCAGGAGTCAGGCCTGCGCCCACCTCAGCTGAGCAGGGACGACCCCAGGTTCCATCCCCGAGGTGAGCTAGTGTGGCCCTGGCTGGGGCGTTCTCAGCCGCTCTTTACTTCCTCTCCCCAGTCCTTCAATTCCCAGCCTTCTCCCCAAGCAATAAAGTTTGTTAAAAGAGTTTCAGCCCTCAAGTTCCAACTCAGTAAACTGGGTGTGGTGGGGCACACCTATAATCCCAGCACTCGGGAAGCTGAAGGGAGATGAACTTTGAGTTCAAGGTCTGGGCGGGCTGCGTCATTTGTTCCAGGCCAGGTGGGGTCCATGCAGCAAGACCTTGCCTCAAAAAAGAAAAGGCTGGGAAGGTGGCTCAGTGGTAGAGAGCTTGCCTAGCATGCGTGAAGCCCTGGGTTTGATTCCTCAGCACCACGTAAGCAGAAAAAGCCAGAAGTGGCGCTGTGGCTCAAGTGGTAGAGCGCTAGCCTTGAGCTGCAGAGCTGAGGGACAGCACCAGGCCCAGAGTTCAAGCCCAAGACCGACAAAAAGAAAACAAAATCATCTCTCAACCGCTCCTCTTTCCTCAATGTTTCATTCTTCTGCTTTCATACTTGAATACACGTTGACCATATTTACCCCTCTACCACCCCATGCACAGATGCCCCCCAGCAGCTGGTTTGTACCCCTGTTTGCATTTGTAAAGTGTATGTTAATTGTACAAAGGGTATTTCTCAGATGCATATCTTATACTTTATTCAGATTAACTTTCTCTTTGGCTCTCTGGTCCCTTCACTCTGCCCCCTATTGTTTAACAGTGTTGAATTTCCTTAGGCCACCTTTGTTGATTGAACCCAGGGCCTGGGCACTATCCCTCAGTTTTTCACCTCAAGACTAGCGCTCTACCAGTTGAGCCACTGTACCACTTCCGGTTTTCTGGTGGTCTGTTGGAGATGAGTCTCTTGGCCTTTCTCACCCGGGCTGGCTTTGAACCATGACCCTCAGATCTCAGCCTCCTGAGTAGCTAGGATGACAGGTGTGAGCCCCTGGCGCCTGGCAGATGCAGTGCATTTTGATATGATTCATTCTCGGTCACTCTCTTCCCTGCTCCCTTGTACCTCCCCCAGCCAAACAGTCCACGTTGTTTTTGTAACAGGACCTCAAATCAATGCCAGTCTGGACTGCAATCCTCCCAACTGCGCTGCCTGCTCAGCTGGGATGCCAGGTGTGTGCTGCCACACCTAGCTTTTATTAGTTGAGATGAGGGTATTGTGACCTATTGCAGCCCTGAACTGGGGACCCTCCTGACCTTTACCTCTTGAGGAGCTGGGAGACAGAGGCTTAGCTGAAGGTATTGCTTTTCTAAAGACATTTCAGAGTCTCTTCCTTCAAGGCCTGTAATTTTGGTACTCGGGAGGCCAGAGACCCTCGGTTCTGGGCCAGCATGGGTTACTTTGCAAGACGCCATGTCCAAACACATAATCCCTATGGAGGATGGTGAAGAGAGCTGGGCCTGCGGCCAGGTGCAGCCTGAGCAGAAAGGCTCCAGCCAGCCGTGGGCCCGGGGAGGTCAGGCGGGGAGAAGGCGCAGGGCCGGGGCTGCCCTGCGCCGCCTGTCCTGCAGAGGGCGCCCGCCGCCACCGTCTGCCTTGCGCTGCTTGTCCTGCAGGGGGCGCCCGCCGCCACCGCCTGCCTTGCACCGCCCGACCTGCAGAGGGCGCCCGCCGCCACCGCCTGCCTTGCACCGCCCGACCTGCAGAGGGCGCCCGCAGTTGCCGTCGCCACGCACCGCCCGTCCTCCAGGGGGCGCCCGCCGTCGGGAGCAGCGGGAGGCCGAGGCCATGGGGGCGCGCGGAGGGTCGCCGCGGCCGCGGCCGCTGCCGCCGCTGCTGCTCCTGGCAGCGCTGATGTCGCGCGTGGGCGCCAAGCCGCCGGGTGAGCTGCGCGGGCCGCGGGGGGGTGCGGGGCCGGGGCCGCGTCTCACCTTCTCCCCCCCGCAGAGCTGCAGGCGGTGGACACGCTGTCAGGTGAGGCGCGGGCACGCCAGGACGCCAACATGTGGACCGAGCGACGGGGCCGTGCGGGGGGGGGGGGGGGGGACCCCGGGCCCTCCGTCCCGGCCCCTCCGTCCCGGACCCTCCGTCCCCGGCCCCAGACCCCCTCCGTCCCGGCCCCTCCGTCCCGGACCCTCCGTCCCCCTCCGTCCCCGGCCCCCTCCATCCCGGACCCCGGACCCCTTCTTCCCGGACCCTCCGTCCCGGACCCTCCGTCCTGGACCCCTCCGTCCCTGGACCTCGGCCCCCTCGGTCCCGTCCCCCTCCGTCCCGGCCCCCTCGGTCCCGGCCCCCTCGGTCCCCGGCCCCCCCTCCGTCCCCCTCCGTCCCCCTCCGTCCCCGGCCCACGCGGGCCGGGCGGCGGCCTCCCCGCGCCGCTCAGCCTCCGCCCCGCGCCCCCCAGGCCCGTGCGGCCACCGGCCCGTCCCGACGCGCATCGTGGGCGGCCAGGACGCGGAGCTGGGGCGCTGGCCGTGGCAGGCCAGCCTGCGGCTCTGGGGCATCCACATGTGCGGGGCCAGCCTGCTGAACCGCCGCTGGGTGCTGACGGCCGCCCACTGCTTCGACAGGTGAGTGGGCCGGGCGGGCCCGCGCGTGGGGAGCCCGGGAGACGCCGTCCCGCCCCGCAGGGACTGACGGAGCCCGCCCCGCGCCCTCCCGCCCCGCCAGGTCCAATGACCCGTATGAGTGGTCGGTGCAGCTCGGGGAGCTGACCTCCGCGCCGTCCTTCTGGAGCCTGCAGGCCTACCACAACCGCTACAACGTGGAGAACATCTTCCTGAGCCCCAAGTACCCGGGCACGTTTCCCTACGACATCGCCCTGCTCAAGCTCTCCTCTCCCGTCAGCTACTCCAGCCACATCCAGCCCATCTGCCTCATGGCCTCCACAGCCATGTTCCAGAACCGCACCGACTGCTGGGTGACCGGCTGGGGGGACATCCAAGAGGATGAGTGTGAGCCTGTGGGAAGGGAGGGTCGCACCCGGGTCACAGCCCAGCCAGCCCGCGCCCTGCCCTAGAGTCTCAGAAGAGCCGAGACCTGCCTGTCCATCGCCCAGGTCCTTGTGTGGTTTTGTTGGCCATCCATGTCGAGTCCAGGTTGGAACTGGAAGTGTTAAGAACGGGGACTGGAGCTGGGTGCTGGTGGCTCACGCCTGTCATCCTAGCTACTCAGGAGGCTGAGATCTGAGGATCACGGTTCAAAGCCAGCCCGGGCAGGAAAGTCTGTGAGACTCTTATCTCCAGTTAATCACCAAAAAGCCAGATGTGGAGCTGGGCTCAAGTGGTAGAGCGCCTTGATCAGAAAGGGAGCGTGCCCAGGCTCTGAGTTCAAGCCCCAGTATGGGCAAATAAATAAATAAAAATAACCACACACAAAAAACCCCAAACCAGTATCCCAGGCACCTCAGTTACCCAGGGTACCCCTCACCCCACAGTCCACCCGCGGCGCAGGGAGGATCAAGCCGCCTGCTCCCTGCCCCGTGTCTTCACAGTGCTGCCGTCACCCTACATTCTCCAGGAAGTCCAGGTGGCCATCATCAACAACAGCATGTGCAATCACCTCTTTGAGCTGACAGACTTCCGCATGGACATTTGGGGGGATATGTTGTGTGCGGGAGACCCCAAAGGTGGCAAGGATTCCTGCTTTGTGAGTGCTCCCCCAGACTGCCTGGCCTTGCCCAGCCCGCCCGGCCTCACCCCTGGCCTAACCTTCCCCTGGCCCGCCCAGCCTCCCCCAGCCTGCCCCCACCCCCACTCAACCCACTGCTCCCCAGGGAGACTCGGGAGGACCCCTATCCTGCGAGCAGAATGGACTGTGGTATCAGGTCGGCGTGGTGAGCTGGGGCATGGGCTGCGGCCGGCCCAACCGGCCTGGCGTCTACACCAACATCAGTCAGCACGTCCGCTGGATCCGAACCACTATTTTACACAATGGCACCCCTGGGCCGCGCCCCTCCCCAGTGGGGCTGCTCCCTGTTCTACCCTGGGCCCTCAGGCTCCTGCGGCCAGCCTGAGCCACAGGCCCACACTGGCCAGAACCTTCTGCTGAGCAGAGCTCTGCTCCCCCGTTTTTATGCCAATAAACACATTGGAGTTGACTTTTCCAGAGCATTCCTTGAACCCTGCTCCCCCACCACCCTCAGGTCAAGTCCAGCCCAAGTCCCACCTCTGTCTCCCACCCTGTGTCCATCTGTGCCAGCTAAGTTGTTTCTTTCTTTCTTTCTTTTTGGTCCTGTTGTGGGGCTTGAACTCTGGGCCTGGGCGCTGTCCCTCAGCCCTTTAGCTCAAGGCTAGTGCTCTACCACTTGAGCCACAGCACTACTTGCGGCTTTTTTCTTGTTGCTTATGTGGTGCTGAGGAATCGAACCCAGGGCCTCAGGCATGCAAGGCAAGCGCTCTACCACTGAGCCACCTTCCCAGCCCAACTAAGTTGTTTCTATCAGATGGTGAGGCTTGAACTCAGGCCTTGCGGTTGCTCTACCGCCTGAGCCACACTCCCAGCCACCAGCCAAGTCACTTGCTCATTTCTCCTGTGCCAGTC